CTGACTGCAACAAAAATCTTCCTTACTATTTGATATTTGGTGTTCATTTGCAATGTGAACCAAAATTGATGGTTTTTATTAACCTCAGGAAGTTGGAGTATGGCAATGCTGTCCACAGCAGCAGGATACTGACACTACCAACAACTGATCAACACAATAGAAAATACAAATTTCTCTGTTCTTTTTTTCTTGCTGCTATGCCCTAATAATGACATTTATATCTAGCCTTGTTTCTCCTTCTTCCATAAGGTATTCTGCTAGATGTGTTTGTCTAAGAAGGATATTTTATTGACAGGTCCAGGTCTCTACAGAGAAGAGAGACAATACAGTTCAAAGTTCTTTTCACTTATATATGAACTTCTCATATTTTTATAGTATGGATAGCTAGTACTTGCTTTCCACTAAACACATTTCTGCCTCTGGTTTAAGATATAGTTGAAACCCAGTGCCAGTTTTCTGTTATATCTCTATTTGCCTATTTTCTCTATTCTCCAGCTCCTAAGCCTCTTCTCCAGTACAAAAATACTTACAAAAATATTCTTCTCCTGTTGTCAAAATCTGTTGTTCCTGAGATCAGATTTCTTTATTGTTTTTCTCTTTACACAGCAGAATGCTGCTGTTTCACCAACATCCATTTTATCAAGTCCTGTGACAAAAATCTTCTTGACACCAGGAAAATGCTGACAAAATTAATGGACAGACTGTCTGAATTTCTGGGTGCCTGAATGGGTGACCACTGACCAAGCCACTGTGATCAGCAGTCACATTTTTACTTTGAGAGTGAGCTATTAAACACACACTTTCTCAAATGATTTCTTTCATGCTGGTCAGGAGCACAGGGCCCAGCCCTCTGTTATTCTAAGCTTACAGGTGTATTTTTTTACAGTGCTGTGTTTGTTTACACTTGCTGCAGTTTTGTGGCACATCAGATTCAAGCTCTATCTTGCAAATCACCAAGGTTTTTCAGTTGCTATATGCTTCCATTTTCCAAAGAGAATAGTTGAAATAAAGGCATGGGGACTAGGAAAATTGGATGGGAAAAGAGGTGGAAACAAGAAAATGTAATGCCAGTTATTTTACAAAATCCATTTCGAAATTTTGAAACTTCAAATACAAATTACGTTGTTGGGCCTGCATATTGTTGTTTTTGAGTTTTGCTTCCTTGGACTAAAGTTTCCATGGAAATCCTCTGCTAATAATTATTTTGCTATGCTTCTAATTACAATCCCACTGCAAGTCTTGCCAGTACCACAGCAAGCTCTCTTCACAGAATATCACAAAGAGGAAGAACAAAGAAGCCATCCAGAAAAAGCAAAAAGGAGATTCTAGTAAAATCAGATGTAATATCCAGCTAAAAATCATAAGATAGTGGCAACATATGTATTTACAGTCTTTTTGAGACAGACAATTTGGTGATATTAAGGGCAATCTCGTTTTGTTTGTCTTTTGGGTTATTTTCTCTTTTTTCCCCCCCTCCTCTATTCACTTTTAAATTTCCTTTTCCAGGCTCAGGCTCTGTGTAAATACTGTTCATTTTAAAAAGCTGTCAGAAATCTCATTAGTCTTCTGTGCTTTTCCAAACACCAAGATTTCACAATAGAGGCAAATGACTACTGGACTAACCACTTTAGCCAGTGGTGGGTTCTCATCACTTGGCAGAGGGTGGGTGCCTCCCTGTGAAGGATGTGCAAGCCAAACATTAGGCTTTGAGCCTCCTTCAGAAGTTACTGTTCAGTGCTTGTGAAACGGTTTATGTGTCCCATTTCTTTCCTTAAACTTCACTATAAACCAAATTAACAGCTGAATAATCTGTTCTAGGATCACAGAAGTGTCTGTTATGTCACTCTGTGCTAGGCTGTGGTTTGGGCAGGTGTGACAAAGTGATGGAAGGAAGGGCTGATAGAAATGCAGCCTCAATACATTAAGGCTCAGATACAAAATGCAGGAATCATTGTTTCTCCCAGACAGTTCACTCCACATGCTGCATCTCCTAACTTTTGCAAATATTCTTCTGTGTCATGGTAATCTGCTTAGTAGAATAAAAAAAAATTATATTTTTTTTTCAAAATCGGTTTCATATCTGCTTTCTTTCTCTTTTTCCAGTCTCCTTGTTAGGCAGTCACAGAATCAAGTTGACATTTTTCCTGTTTTAGGAATGTACCCACATCACAGCAGTCACTTCTTTTTTATGTAGATTATGAGCAGCAAAGGTAGTTTCAAAATGTAATTCCAAAATAGGGGTAATATTTAAAGTAAACAAACCGTGTAGAATAAGGATTGAAAATCATTTCAGTTGTTGGGAATGACAGTACTACATCAATATTGCACATTCACAATGTTGTCTATATATTAACCACTAGCCACCCTTTGTGTTATGAAGCTTTTGCAGCCACCTGCCCTAACACTCAAATGTAAGAATTCTGTGAGTTCCTAATCTTCACCAGTTTCAGAGAATTTGAAAGGGTAAAGGCTTGGAAGGGTCCTCTGGACATCATTTAGTCCAATCCCCCTGCCAAGGGACGCAGTTCTACAAATAAAGAGAACAGTAAAATTAACACTATACTTACAATTTCCAAAATTGCCATGCGACTGCATTCAAACGGGTATGAAGAAAGGTATATCAAAGTCTTCATGTGTTTTATTTGTGGTTGGTCTCTGTTTTTCAGCTATCAAACAAGTAATTGTTATTGGCACTGTATTTGGAATAGTCGGTCTTGCAGTCCTGGCACGTCTGGGTTATTTATGCATAAAGCAGAGGTAAGCCTTCATTGAACTGAAAACTCAAATGAACCTCCTAAAAAAATGGCAACTGTTATGACTTTTTAAATAATAATTTAATAATGATCACTGGCAACAAACGGCCAGTGTGCTACAGGTAAAAAAAAAAAAAAAGAGTACGACTGATGTATACACACTTATCAACTGTGTATGCAACTGATTGGTGGAGAAAGAGGGCAGCATAGTGAATTAAAATGGTTTTGCCTAGGAATACTGGCAGATTGAAATGGAGATATGGTTGATTCTCTGAACTTTGTTAGCAACAGTTACATTTTTAAGCTTTCTCTGTTCCAGGGTCCACAAGAAATAGAATGCCAGATGAAATGGAATCGAAATTGAGTGAATAGAAACAAAATGGGGTCACAGCCCTTGGAAAGAAGACTGTATGTATGAGGAAGAACTAAATACTTGTGAACTTATCACCAAAAAAAAGGCACAGTGCCAAGCTAACAGAACACTGCTATTGTTTTTCAGTATTTCATCAACTTAAAAATGCTACATTCACTAGGAATTCAGCTCAAAGAAAGAAGAATGTGGCATATTATGCTATGATATTAAAATTTATGTGTAAAGTCATGCAACTATATGCAGACCAGTTTTTGCTTTCTATATGTGTCACAAAGGCCAAAAGAATTGTAAGCATACTTTCCCACTCAAAATCAACCTTACAGCTTTATATGGCAGGAGGTTTCTGTATGAGAATGAGATGCATCCACACTGTGTATTGATACAGTAGTTAAAGCCTACAAACTGTATTTTGATTCTTTCCCTTTCAGAATAGCAAATTGTTCTCTCACTGTATGGGTTGCTATTTGATTACACAGCAGTGGTGTGAAAGGGATACAAGGATGTTTGCCCTATTTCTGTTCCTGACAAAGAAACTTTTATTTTTTTTAACTGGTGGAGGGGGGGTATCCTGTTGGTTGCTTCTTAGCAAAGACGTTCTACCATGACTAAAATGTCTCACAGGCCAGGTGAAGACTTGGCAGAAGTTTCGACAATAGCTTGATATTACCACCTTGACACTGTCCTTTGGTATCTTCAGGTAGATTAAAACAAAACAGAACAAAACAAAACAAAACTCCAAACAAACCACAAACCCAAACGCGATCTTCCTGCACGTGCATTTTCAGAAAGCAACGCTGCTCATTCTCTTTCTCTTGCGGAGCTGCTGCTGCTGTGTTTGTGTGGGTCGCGCTGTAGGTGTGGGTGTCCCTGCACGTCCTGCTCCCCAATGTCCCGGGTCCCTGGGCGCGTGTGGCTGGGCTGTGTTCCTGTCTGTGTTCCTGTCTGTGTGTCTGTCTGTGCTCCTGTCCCTGTGTCTCTGTCACTGCCACCCGGGGCCGGGACAGCGGCCCCCGCCCGGCCTCAGCTCCGCCCGCCTCAGGACGCGGCCTAGGGGGGACACTGGGGGTTCAGCAGCCCCGCTGCTTTATGCCAGCGCTCCCTCAGCACGGCTTCGCTGCCCGGTCACTTCTGTGGGGCAGGTGGTGCCTTTTCACTTGGAGAACGACGCCCTAAATCGCAGCGTGCGGCGCCGGCCCCCCGCCGCCCGCGGAGCCGCTCATGCCAGCGCCCCTCAGGAAGTTTGCGGCGTTCTGTCCCTGTGCCGTGTCCGTCCGTGCCTTGGCGGCTCCAGGAGAGAAGATCCAGGCTGCACCTGCGCTGTGCCATCGGCTCCGACAGCCCAGGGGCAGCCCCCGGGCCGAGGGCGTGCTCGGGGCAGGGGCCGGCCGCGCCAGGCCCCGGGGCTGACGGGCTCCTGCCCTACCTTCTCCGTGGGACAGTGGCTACGAGGGGAGCGACGAGAGCGAGCCTTGGGTCGCTGCTGGGTCGGATGAGTTTGTTTGTGTGTGTTTATGTGAATTTATGTGTGTGCGTGTGTGGCGAGGCGTCCCGGCCAGCGGGGAGGGCTCCGCGAGGCCAAAGCGCTGCCCCGGGGCGAACGCCGCCAGCCCGGACCTGCCGGTGTCAGAAGTGGAAGCGGCAGCTCTGCGGTCCCGCGCGGCAGCAGGTTGGGATGTCGGTCTCTATCCTTTCCTGTCACATGGCTGGTAATAGGATCCCTCATCTGCCACTCGGCACCTCGCCGGGGCGCACTTACAGGACACATGCTGTAGGGCCTCCGCTTCCCGCACTTCGCGCTCTTCCCGGCCGCCTGCCACCCCCGGAGAGCCGGGGCTGCCGCCTGCGAGCGCGGCGCGGCCCGGCGGCCGCTGCCTATGGAGCCTCCCGCCCTCGCCGCCGTCCTGGCCTTCTCCGGGCTGGCGCTGAGCTGCTGCCGAGAGCCCGTTCTGTCCGGTGAGTGCCGCTCCGCGGGGAGCCGGGAGGGGGGCGCGTTCGGGGCTGCTCCCCGAGCTGCCGGCGGGGCTGAGCGGCGGGGCAGCCTCTCCCCGAGCCCCGCAGCCCCCCGCGGAAGGGCTCTGCCGCCCGGCAGCGCCTCTTGGAGGTGGCGGCGACGTCCCTTCCTGCCCGCCAGAGCCGTGCCGGGCTCGAAGCTGCCCGTGCAGGCGCTCGGCGGGTGTTTCTGCCTGGAGCTCGTGGGTGTTTGAGGCTCTCCCCGTGCTTGCTGAACTGGGAGCTCGGAAACTCGTAAGGAAGCGTGATGTAAGAGAAGGAAGAGCAGCACGTTTCTCTATAAAAGTTCGATAGCTGGGTCTGTGGAATGGAAGCATTTAAAGGGAGAGGGGCGTGCGATTGTTGGTGTCACTGGGGAAAAACCTGTGGCAGCAGAGCTAGAGCTTGAAGAGCGAGCATCCCGCCTGTCCGCAGTGAGCTGCCCCAGCTCCCTGCCAAACCTCGGCTCCTCTGACCATTCAGGTTCTCCTTCAGCCAAAGAGCCTGAAGCTTCACTTCCTAAGGTGATTTTTCACTTAAAATTTCTCTGCACCCTTTTGTCCTCCCTTTAGTTGTTACTAATGATTTCAGTACCGTGCTTCTCCTCTGGTAAACATTGTCCGTGCTTTGCAAGATCAGAAGTGGCAGTTCCAGATGGTCACAGCCTCACAGCCATCAGATGTGTGGTCCTTCTGGATACGTTTTTTGTTTTCTTAACTGCTGTTTCTTCTTACAAAGTAGAGTTTACTGTACTTCTTTTTGAGCACATAATTGCTCATCAAGTTTTTGTAGATGTACCTAATTTGATATGGAAAATACCCGCATAGCCATTTTCAGGGACTAAAAAACCTTTTACAAGAAAAAGTTCTGGTAAACTTTCCTTCTTCTCAGATGTAAAACATGAGAGTATTTTCAGAGAGGCATTTAGAGAGCTGCCTAGGCAGGGACCATGTCTAAGGATCTGTTCCCAGTACCATTAGGACGTGCTTGGTGCACGCAGTGGATGGATGCTCCTTCCTTTGCCTGTAAGGTTTCTGAACAGAACACTCCGTGTGTAACCGTGTCTCTCACAGCGGGCTGTGTCACAGCAAGGGGAGGATATGGCCCAGTGTGAATGTTTGGCTGCTAAAGGGGACAGAAATGCCTGAGCACAAGCAGCTGGGGCAGGGGGAGGAGGGAAGAATGTGTAATGCCTCCAAATGAAGATGTAGCAAAGGAGAATGGATCTAGAAAGTACTGCCACCTATGCGTCTTCTGCTAAAGAACCTGGAAACAGTGCAAATACAGCAATTTGTAATTTGTATGGCATGTACGGGATCTGCAGAGCTCCTAATCTGCACAAGGTACACATCAGGATCTTTGTCTTGACCCTTAATCCCACAGAATTGAAATGGGATCAGCTGTGTCAGGTTGCACTTGAAACTAGCAGAATTCTGAAATGACAAACGTTGGTATTGCTTTAGGAAGGCAGTTTGTCATATGTTTTTAATACCTATTCCTTTTTTTGGTTTTTTAATGCATGTCCTTATAAGCTTAGTGTAAAGTGCAGTCAAAATAAAGACTTTGTCACCATCATTTGCTAAAATAGGAGAGAAACTTCTGGAATTACTATATGAAAAATCACTCCATTTGTCAGAAATGAAAGTGAATTAACAACCATTTTTGCACATATTACTGTGCTGCTTTCCACAGAATGTTTCTGCTTCACCGTGTGATGTCTAACAGTTTCTGTTAATTCAAACACTGACATTCAAACCTTGTGGCATTTGTGCTTTCAAACATCAGCCATACATAATTTCTCAAGTGGATCAGAAATAAGAAGTGTGTGAATAGATTACCTACCATTAAAGGACTGTTTGAATTTGGTGAGTTTTGTGTTACAAGGCCAAAGAAATGGAAATGCCTTCAGCAAATGTAAGTTTTGGTGAACAAATGCTATTTTACATACTCAGTGCAATAAGTTATAATTTCTAGTTTCTGTACGTATAGCATTCATTTAATTTCCCCATCAGAAATGTATGTGGTTATCAATCTTTTTTTCCTTTCTCTGTTTTCTTTCCATTTAGCAATACTGAGTCACCACGTCCTTGGTTTTTTCCCAGCTGAGTCTTTCCTTTGAGCTGTTATTCCAGCCTTCTCTTAGAAACCTGGTATCTTGTCATCTTATTCTGCCTATGCCTTGGTGATTCAGAGAAGCAGTTCTACTTGATATGCCATAAGCAAGCCTCATGAAAATACTTTACAAATCTTTTTTTTTTCTATCTAACTAGGCAGATAGGGGATGAAATAGACATTTCAGCATATCATGCTTGTACATGCATAGAGCATAACTCAAAATCCAGAGTTATGTGAATGGATTTAATCAGGATGGAGCCAGAGAAGTAGGAGGGAGGCAGGGATTACATGCTGCCAGCTGCAAAATTTTCATTTTTGTCATATCACACCATAATAGTTGTGCAATTGACCACTCCCTTTATCCACACAGTGGCTATGGCCCATCCTGATAAAATTGCCAAAGGGATTCAGCCTGCCACACTTGACAAGGCAACAACAGTTTTAAAACTTCTCAAAGAAAGAAAACAAATGGGTGTATTAAGGAACAGAAATTCTTATGGGGTCACATCACACATTCTTACTTCCAGTGATAAAGAATCACAAGGCAAGCAAGTGTGTTTGCATCTTGTGGCTGAGGACCAGCCAGCAGCTGCAAGGCTCTGGCTAATATAGCATACTTGTGTTGTACAAATAAAAAGGAAAAAGGGACAGAATGCATTTAGAAATAATAGGAATTGTCTCTTGTGCTCATAACCTAACTTGCCTGCTTCCAGCATATTCCAGAAAAGATCTGGCCGGATTTTTTTTTAAGAAAAGAAGTGATGAAAAGTGATTAGCTTGACAATTAGAGTCAAAATTTCACAAGGACAGCAAGGTGACATATGTGACAGCTCACACACTGCTAGGGAACACAAGTATCAACTCTGCATGTCTGTACATTTCCAGGAATGTACATTTTTACAAGACAGATGTTTCAGTCAAGATTTGATCAAATCTCAGGTGGCATAATCCAAGTATAATCAGATATTCACTGTGGCTACTCTCTGGCTTTTCTGCATTTGAGGGCTTTCAAAAATTTTAGGTGTGTGTGTGTGTTTGCATGGATATGTAGAATGAGCAGGAAGTTTTAAAACTACATGTGGACTGCCCCCACATTGTAAAGGAAAAAATGATCAGCTAATCAAGTGCCCTCATAGCATGACATCAAAATTTAACTGTCTGATTTAAGAAATGGGGAGTTGTTTTCTAGGAATTTTGAAAATTGCAATTTTAAACAAAGATAATTCTTTCATGATGCTTTTTCTTTAGCTTGTATCAACTGTTCTCTTTCGGGGGTTTTTACTGTTACAGCACAGGCACAGAAGCCTGATAGTTTTGGTGAGTGGTTGTATTATATTAGTATGAATTGGAATAGAAAAGTATTGAAATGTAAAAATACTACACAAGTTTTTTACTTGGGTAAATCTAAATCAGACTTACACTTCCCAAAAGCATTTATTTTGCATCATAACATAATATGGAATGAGATTTTTCTTTTTCCTGACCACTCATATGATAGTATGCAAATTAACTTTTGGTTCAGTCGATAAAACTGCATCTTCAAAGAAAACCATTGCAATGCTAAAAATATTTTTAATAATGACCACAGAAGCCATATTTGTGTCTTTCATCTCCTGAAGCTTCTTCTGGTTTTAATCAGTGTTCCCACATGAAGAACTGTGGCAACCTATGATAATAGAATCCCTATTCACATCTCTAGGGAAACAAAAAAGTTCTCATTTGAAGAAGGTGATGTGGTGTTCTGCCCCTTCCACCCGTGGGCCCCTGCCTCTGTCACTGCCGGGGTATCTTGGCATCAGTTAAGTGGTTTCTGTCCTTTCCTCTGTGCGTTACTTTCTCATTGAAGTGTTTCTGCTGTCTAATTATACCCTTTCAATCAAATTAGAGACTGCAGCATCTGGTTAGTGCCTGTAACTGTTGCCATCTGCACCTAGATACAGTGCTTTCATTTAAGGAGGAGTGCTTAAATTGCAATCTCCAGCAAGAACTAGAACAGTTTAGATAGAATGGAAATGACTTAAAACTATTCTTGGAATACTATGTAAGCACATGCATCAGGCAACCCACACTGAGTCATTATCGGACCTGGCACCCTTGGTTTCATACCCTTATATTCTGCTTAAGCATTTTCCTGACTTTTCTAAAAGGCCATAGGAAAAAACAAGTGAAAACTGAGCAGGCAGTTATACCATGTAAATTGAAGGAACCTTTAATTTTTGGTCCAACCTTACAGAACATTTCATTTCAACGCTGTAATGAAACCCAAGATTTAAATAGCAGCCACTTTCATTTATCTTTCATTAATCTGCAGATCTTTAAAAGAAAACCTTGCTTTTTGTGGGGCAGTAGTGGTAGGATAATTTCTGGCTTGGGTAGGCTAGTTTCAGGTTGATAATTGTTATCAGTCTCTCTGGACACTACTCAGTGCTCCAAGTAGCTTCCAAAATATTAAGCAAACAAAGTGGTTTGTTGGGGGGTTTTTTGTTGTTTTTTGTTTTTTTTTTTCTCTCCAGTGGAATAGGAAGAAGTTTGTCATTCTGAATTTTCAGTCTCAAAAGCTATGTAAAGGCCTCAGACTTGGAAAGTACTCTAAGAAGTCATTGAAACCATCCTGAAACCTCCATCTCTTCAGTCTGCAATTTGTAGTGTCTCTAGATAGATGCCTTTGAGAAAATCATTGGAAGCCAATGCAGACTCTGAAATGTCAGTGATTTATCATCAGTAAAAAAAGTCAGGCTATTATAGTCTGCACTACCTTAATTTTTCAAATGATCCTGAAGTGGCGCCCATGTGGAGTGCAGGCAGCCATGCAGTCCTAAAGTAACAAAGGAAAATGATCATTGTAAGGTCCCTACATTGAAGAAGAAACCGACACAGATGGAAAGAATTTCTACAACAGCTGCTGTTTGATCTTCCAAATGTTGATCTGGCTCTAATAAAACTAATTGTGAACCTGTATCACACACTGAGTATTCACTTATAGTGGACAACATCCTTAGTCTTGTTTTCTGCTTTTTTTGTTCTGGCAGTTGTCACTCAATACATACTTGCCTAGTCTCAGCATTCATTTTAAAAAGTTATTTGCTGTCAACCATCCACCTGATGTGTTGAAAACAAAACAGTCGTGACAAAAAAGTGCTGTCCATGTTTTCTCACATTAGCCCGAACAGCACCTGTTGGAACCCTTTGTGACTAGAACCACTGCAAAGGTTCTCTGATTAATTATCTCTGATTAATTCTCTTTACAGACATCCCCATGACACAATAGGAGCAGCAGGGTCATTAGGCAGTTAATTGAGTGAAATCATCATGGACACTGATTCTAATCACACAGATTGACATAAGCCTCTACTTCAGACTATGTCTGAAACCCAGCTGACTAAGATCTTAGAAGTATGAGGTCACACACTTCTAGATTTGAGTGGTCACAGCTTTCTTCATGTCCTGTCTGACACCCTAGTGTTTCAGTAGAGGTTTATAGCTGACAGGTTAGTTTGAGCCTTGTGTGCATGAACAAAATTCACGTGGCAAATCTATCAAGTACAGTGGTGCCCACAAGGTGTCTGTCCTTCCCCTGCTGTCTTTGTCACTGGGAGAGGACTTGGATACAGTGCAAGTTCTGTCATGGTTTACCATAATCTTACCAAACTTCAAGGAATAAGGCTTGCTGGAATTCATAGAACCGGTATTAATTTTCTTGAGTCACAGTTCTGGTGTTAAATTCCAAGTGAGGGGCTTCATGCCCTGAAGTGTCATGGAAGTATCAGCCTAAGGCAGATGGATCCCGTGGGTGCCACGACACAGAGAGGTGGTTCTTGCTGGTTGATTTGCTCTTTTCCCCCTCCCTTTTGCATAACCTACCAAAGAGAAATCAGGTGGTTTGAGTAAGCTGAAGACTTTCACCAACAGTGTTCAGTCTTTTCTGACTGCTTAATAACCTCATCTGAATTAGTTTTGTGCAGATAAATCTAGGTGACCTTTTTTAAGCTCATCTTTTCACTGAATTACTGCACCGGCGGTACAAGACGAAAAGTAGGGTGGAGGTTATAAGCTCCTGTTCTCCAGAATCTTTTAGGATTTGATTTTGGATTTGAAATAGAGAGGACAGTGGCCTTTCTGCAGACAAAACATGCACCTTCAGCTCATTGGGAGTATTAATTTCATGGTGAAATCACTAAGGTAGTGTCTTGGCTGTCATGCAGCAAAATATGATGAAATCACTACGTGTGATAAACAGAAGAATTTAGTTGTTTGCTGCCAAGATAGGGAATATGCTGACATCTGTAACTATGCTACTAGGAATTCTACAATAAACTGTATAAAATATATCTCAGCAGATCTCAAAGCTGACTGTTCAAGGTAAAAGAATGTAGGCTTGTGTCCTGGTTTCAGCTGGTATGGTGCTATGTTTTGTACTTAGTGTGAGAATAATGTTGATAACACACTGATTTTTTTAGTTGTTGCCAAGTAGTGCTTACTCTAAAGGACTTCTCAGTTTCCCATGCTTAGCCAGTGAGCAGGTGCACAAGAAGCCAAGAGGGAGCAGAGCAAGGACAACTGACCTGATTTTTTTTTTAAATGCCAATATTTTTTTGAAAATATTGCACTCCCATGCTATGGCGAAACTGTTATTAATCCTTAACAAAATCCAAATTTCCTGTAACACAAAAGGTTTTATATTTCATTTGATAACAGCTGCTAAATTCCATGACTTAAAGTTTTCATTTCAGTGTTTCAGGGATAATCAATGCTTTTTCGTGGTATCTCACTGCCTCCCCTTTCCACATCCACGTCTAAGCCAGGGGAGCTTTGTTACAACTCAGCTGGCATATTTGCACCAGATCTCTTGATAGCGCAGAGGAACACAGGAGGCATTGATACAGCTACCTATTGTCTTGGGAACAAAAAGCTGCAGTTAAGAGGAATGAAGAGAGATCTGACTCTCCCCTTTTTTTCTTAAAAGTGCAGTGAAGTTTGAAGAAAATCACTTAAAAAAAGCTGACATGAAAATGTCAGTCAGTCACTACTGCAAGTTAAAGCATGGGCCAGTCTTAGCAGATCCTAAAATGGACTGAAGTTAACTTCAGTTTAGTTTGTGTGCCAGACTAAAGTCAAGTATTGTAGCATTCCTTACATTTCTGAGTAGATGGAAGTATATATTGCTTTTAATTTAGAAGTGAGAAGCAAAAAAAAAAAAATAAAGCACAAAACTAATGTAGGTATCTTTTCTGGATGTGCTTATCACTTTTAACAAATTCTTTTTGTTGCATATTATTTTGTTTATTTTGATACGTTTTTCTCTTTTCTGCTAAATTCATCAGCTTATACTTTTCATCTGTAGCCTACAAAAGCTTTTATATTAACTGCAAAGCAAAAGAGGTATTGAAGAAAGTTGCAACATGGTCGTGACCTTAAAATGGTTATTTTTTCATGTTTACACAAGTATCTGTGGTGGCCTGAATGCTGGAAACTCAGATTTGCATTTTTAAGCAAATGTATGCAGCCCACCTGTATTGCTAAGGCAGGTAAATTACAGCAAGGAGGAGTATTGACCTGAAGCTTGTTTTTGTTAAATTATACAGCTTTCTGTCCACAGATGATAGCAGAATACATTAATGGCTGTGCAGACATCTCTTCTGTGTGCCTTCAGCAACAAAATTTCATTTAACAGAAATCCAAACTTGCCTAGGCATGAAAGTGCACAGTGAAAGCACAAAACCATTGTCTTTCATCTGCTGTGTAATAGAACTCTGAAATAATTATTATAATTGTACCATTCTGATATTTGTGAGCCCAGACTAAACTAATTTCAGAGACACGGTTTTAATAATACATTTTTTCCTTCTTCTACAGTAGTTCTAAATACAACAACGATGTAATGTTAATATCAGGATTAAAATGTAGGTGGGTTTTGTTTTTTTTTTTACTCTTCCAACTGCAGCCACACAGGTCTTTCTAGACTTGTTTTGTAACTTAGATCTCATGAGGGACACCTGAGATCAGCACATACTTCAGAGCACTCTCCCACTCCCTCAGGGCAGTAGAACATCTCTGCAGCTGCAGTATGGTTTCTACAGAGAACACTATCAGATGAAACAGGAGGTTTCACAGCCTGTAGTGAGCAGAAAGCATTTGTGAATTTCTCCAGTAATGCTGTCCAGTACAAAGAAATGTTTACAGCAGTTTTAGTTCTGTCACAGACTGTTATATTCTAAACCTATTCTTAAATAAATGCAAGGATGATAAATGTTAGCAAGTATTAATTATAAAAAGGATGGACTTATTTATGGTAAACTAATTATAATGACTCTTTCTGGAAGATAATCACAGAATGGTTGAGATGAAAGTGACCTGTGGAGGTCACGTTGTCCAGGGCCATGTCCAGGTGGTTTTTGAATATCTCCAGGCATGGAGATTCTACAGCCTCAGTGGGCAATTTGTTGCTATGCTCACACTCCATAGTTTAATCAAAAATGTTTTACAATTTCAGCAAAAGTAAAATTGTTCATGCATTTGGATATTTCTTTCATCACAAGATGTCCAGTGAATGTGTCCATGCCCTTGGCAAGGGGGTTGGGACTGGATGATCTTTAAGGTCCCTTTTAACCCAAACCATTCTGTAATTTATAAGCCAGGCAGCATGAACTTTGTAGTTCAGCTGAGAAGGGACTAATGTATTTAAAGAAATCATTCTCTACTTTGGTTTCTAACCTGCTGAGTATTAGGAGGCTAGGAAAACAAACATAAATGGGAGAAAATGAGTGAGGCAGAAGAATACTGACCCATACTTTTTAATCTGAAAGGATAAATGCTTTAGTAGCAAATCACAGTATTGTGATTATACTCTGCTGAAGGAGGTCCCTTTCTCAAGCAATTCAATCCCTAAGAATTTTTATAAATCAGAATGTAAATGTTGGTAAGATCCAAGCTTACAAAGTCTTTCACTTTGTAAAATACAGATAGTCACAACTTTAATTGAAGTGGCATGACATTTTGGTTCATATGCTAATAAGTAGCAGATTGATTATGTCATATGATTTCATTTTTGGAAAATTAACAAGTTACAGAGTCATCCTAATGAGTAAAACACAGGGAAAACAGGAAAAAAGTATTATGCTTATTCAGAAAATACATGTTGATTGTGTAAACCTCTCTTCAGACCTGTCTTATTCATTGTTTATTAAAGTAATGACATCATAATCTCTTAAATAGAGGTTTGACTGAGAGAAAGCTTAAATCCTAGTCAGTATCTCTAGCTGCCTGAACAATGCAGGAAACATGGTCTGTTGGATATGGGGTGGAGGGTGAGGGAAGAACAAACACTAAACCTACATACATTCTTTCTTTTTCCATTTCTCTTTCTTCCCAGAATGCTACACAGCCAATGGGGCTGACTATCGTGGCACTCAGAACCAGACCTCCCAATATGCAGGCAAACCTTGTCTTTTTTGGAATGAGACATTTGAGCATCCTTATAATACTGTGAAATATCCCAATGGGGAGGGAGGGCTTGGAGAGCATAACTACTGCAGGTAAGAAATATCACATTGCTTTAACATTTAACATTGCCTGTATACCCAGTGTTATTTGAGAAAATTAGGAAACGTCCTGTCATGCAGTGAAGAATGTCAGAACCATGGGTGTCTAACACTTTTTAGTTTACCCTGTAATCAGTACCCTGAATCTATGAGCACCATTAGTTCAACAACTTTTTCAGCTCAGCTCCCACACTTTTTTAGCACAGTTCTTATCATGTGTCCACTTTATAAGGTGGCACGACAGAGAAAGACTATAGATTACTTAAATGAAAAGGTGGAGATTAAAAAAAATGATCCAAATTAGAAGTACAGCAGTGCAGTGAGTGTCTGGAGGAGTCTCTGGATGGTTTTTATCCTCACACACAAGCCTGGTTCTGTTGTACTCTCCAAGTTTTGTGCTAATGAAAGTTATGTAGTCACTAAAAATTCTAGGTGAACATCATTGGTTTAGAGTTGTTATTTGAATTCAGAATTTCATTTGTCAGGGGTTACAATACCAGATGAAACCATGGCAGATGCACTTCTGTTTCCTTACCTTCTAGAGAAAGTCCTCCATAACTATGGATAGAACTTAGAACAAAACTTAAATAAGAACTTGAGAATTTAGGAGCCAAATCAGATCTTAAGTTCAGATGTTTGGGCTCTGCAGGCTTTTTCCAGCTGTGTCTCAGTAGGCATACTAATACAGAGCTGTGAAAAATATCGTGGCCATTGAATTCTCTCTGATACAAACAGCAGAATCAATAATGTAATTTTGATTTTTGCTGTGTGGCAATATTCTAGACAGGCTGTATCTCCAGGATCTTACTTTTGGCAGTCATCTCTGGCTAATATTTTGGTTAGTACAAAGCAAAACATGAACAAGCTGTGCAAAAACATGCATGAGAAACGGAATGTTTATCCAGATACTCAAAAAACACTTATTTGAGTCTTGCTTTACTTAGCAAATGAGAACTTGGTAAATGTTACAAGGAGCAAGAAGCCAATAATCTGATATGTAAACCTGAGAAGTGACTTAATTACCAAATAGAGCTTTTTTTACCTGAGTGTGCTAGGTACTAGATTATCCTCATTGAGGTGGAGTTTGCATTTTCTTCCTTATGCTGTATCACTTGGCCTAGGAATATTCTCCCAGGTGTATGGAATGACAGTCCTAGCTAATGGATGACTTTTATCTTCACATTCTCTTGAAAGAAAGCCTGGAAAGTCACTAAGAGTGCCAGGGTATATCTTTAGCAAGCAAATGTTGTGGAGGCCTGATACAGCTGTTTTAGCTCTTCCTCTGCTTGATGACAATGGACAAGTTGATCTTCCCTTTTCTCAGGCAGCACATACCTCACAAGGCTTTTGTAAGGCACAGTACATCACTGTGAGATTTGATTTTAGGGACAACATTTGAATAATCAGATTTTACACTTGAAGTATTAATCAGAAGCATGTTACCTCTCCATGGGTGGTCCTTACTTGGAATATTTTGTTTACTGCAGGGACACCCTGTTAAGATGGAAATGCCTCATAGCGTTCCACTCATTTCAAACATAACAAAATTATGAGGGCTGAAATTTTTGGAGATTTTGAAAGACAGAAAGTTGTTTTCTAACTGCATGCACTTCTGAGGTTCAAGACAAAGATTTCTAAAGACATTCATCATATTTCTCTACATTTTCCTCGCATTTTTAAGGCATTTATATGTAGAGTTCCATCATCATGATTGAATTCCAGACATACGGTTCCTGTCATGAAAATGTAAACTCAAAAATTCCTGTAACTCTGGAAACAGGGGAAAATGGGTTAGTTTGAGTGCAAGCTTCACTTGGTTTTAGTCTTCTACTTTTTTTAGCTACTGGAGGCTCTTGCATTACACCTAAATTCCTAGCATAGCTAGTCTTAGACTTTCCTTGTCCACTACCTCTACTAATCTGTTTGAAAGCCTAACTAGCAACATTTTAGTCATCTAAACTACACTCAACTCACCAGTTGTTTTCAGCAGTCTGCTATTTGACCAAAAAACATCCACAGAATTTCTAAAATTGGATCTCCCACAGAAGAGTTGTTAATGGGTATAAATGACAACATGCAGCTGAACTGACACTTCAGTAGGGCTGTGTCATTAATAGAATTCATGCCAAAGACATGATAAAAAGATTGCAACTGGTCCTAGTTAAAAGACTGTCCAAAATAACAATTTATTCTCTTAAATAGATCTTTACAATGTGAATAGCTTTTTTTGAATAGTGTACATAGAAAAAACCTTAAATAACCTAATGACTAATTAGGTATGCATTTGTAAGTGATGCTATATAACAGCAAATAATAATAAAAAGAGTGATCATCATGGACACATAAGAAATTAGCCATCAATATAAAGAGATCACTGGAAAGGATTTAGTTAGTTTTATTGAAGGGAAGGAAAATAATTAAGTGTTTCCCAGATTACTTTATGAGCTGATTGTTTTTATCACCACACACACAGAAAGTTGGAGTCTGGATTATTTTGTACCAAGGCAGAAAATCAAATTTATGAGTCAATGGAACCTGTACACAGGATGTGGGACATCTTCCTCTCTGTCAGCACTGACCAAAAATAGCTCTGCACCTTTTAACCTTAGAGTAAAACAAAGCTTTATTTTAGACATTACTAGCATCTTATGCTTCATGAATACTGTAATAACCAAAGATATCTGAACTTCCTGATAATGCAAAACTTTGCATTTTTTCTTGGTATATAAGTTCAGCAGTAGGTATTAGAGTAAAAATAGTAACACCATGAAGCTTAATTTGATTGATTTTTTTTTTTTTGTGTGTGTGTGTGGTTTTTGAAAAAAAACCAATGAATTTCATTGACTGTTTTTCTCTTTCAGGAACCCCGATGGGGATGTCAGCCCCTGGTGCTATATTGCAGAACATGAAGATGGAATATACTGGAAATACTGTGAGATTCCCTCCTGCCGAAGTAAGAGCACTGTGCAGAGTTTTAGGCCTGCATGTCAGCTGAGCAGAGATTGGCAGTTATACAACAGTGGGCAGTGATTTCCAGACACAAACCAGGATAAGGCAAAACAGCTTCTTTTCAGTTGCAGACTAAGCTGTGTTTTAAACAGGTTTCTTAATGGCAATCTTACAGAATTATTCCTCCACTGCTACTCTTTTCATCTTATCTCAGAATTACTGGATTATATTATTTACAAATAATATGTATTATTTCTATGTAATACAAATAATATGTATTATTTGTATTATAGTATGAAAGGGAATCACACAATACTTCTGAAGTACTGCTAGTTCTTTGAATCTATAGGTTATTAATTTATTAAAATCTAGAGGACAAAAAAAGGAAAGTTTTTACAAGGTATATATGTGTCCATCCATTGCAATTAGCTCTTAAAATGAATTACATTAATTTAATGTGTATAGAGCATCATACAAAGAATTGCCTGGAGGAAACAAAAACCAGTATGAGAGGAAACAGTGAAAAGGTGTCTGTGTGCTGTATTGGAACTGTGGGCTAAAATTCTGTCTCTGGCAGGTGCAGATTCTTAGCATTGCTGTGAAACCACAACCTGGACTTTGTTTGATGTTTTTAAAATCAGATAATTTACAAGCTACTCACATGAAGCTTCTTTTCTGAATTTAATATTTTTAATGTATTCTATTTTTTGTCCACAAGGTCATGATCTGTGTCAGTATGTGCCAAAATTTTCTTTCCCAAATCACATTCTTTAAAATACACCCAAATATTAAGAAGATATTCTAGTTTTGCATGTTAAGCAACCATAGCTACACATTTTAGTTAGTCTAATCATCAATGTCTTCACTTGCTTTTCTGACTTCTTCTGTGCAAGTTCCCTCTGTTTCTAAGGCATAACTTTGGTCTTCACTGCTAAGCACCAGAGCAGGTGTCCATATGTAGGCACACATATGATTGGAAGAAGTATATTTCTTACTTGAATTTAAGAAGACAAAACTAAACAAGAAAAACTGATCTGAAGTGATTGGTTTTTTTGTTTTTTTTTTTACTTTGTTCATAATTTTGTTGTTTTGGGTTTTTTTAAATGAATATGAAGGATTCACATCTTCATGCTAGGCAAACAAATACATATGTACGACCTCAAGACAGATGCCTTTTATCTAGACTTAAATACAGATTAAGGGGTCTAATTTAGATAACACAAAATCATTCAACACTCTGATACTCATTGTTCAGAGGACATCTTACTCTTATTTTTTTGATATACCAGGCATGATTTAAGAAACCTGACCCTCCTAATTAAGAAATTTAACTTGGTCTAAAATGAAAGAATTTGCATTTTCTTTAAAGACCACAGATGTTAACAAATTATCTGGATATGGCACCGGGAAAAAAGCTGAAAGGCAAATTCTCTCCACTCCATTTGTTCTACACAAAGGATCCTTTTAAAACCAGCCTCGCTCATTTTCTCTGTGGTGGGGAGAAGAGGATTTAAACTTGGACACTTACTTGCACAGATAATCCAGACTTACATTTACAAAATGTCCTTTTGACCAGTAGCAGCTGCTTCAAGCATTGCACTGAAACTCGATACTAGAAAAAGGAATTGCAGCAATTTAGAGCAAACTGTACATTGCAAGCCCATCCAAATCTTAATACAAACCTCATGGTTTATGAAGCTGTGTAAGTAAAAAAATCTTTTATTCTTCACCACACTTTCTGTTTTCAGTAAGCATGATGCTTAGTCACAGGACCATCAAAACTATCTTGTGAAGTGCAATACAAAATATTTGACTTTTGTGATGGAGTGGGAAAACAATTGTGTAAAAGAATTCCTATTTGAAAAATTTTAGAGAAAATTTTCTTACATAAGCTTCTTTTCCTTAATGATATTTACTACTAGAAAATTATCTGGAATATAAGTTACCATTAACTGTGCCCACATAATACTATGGCAGTGCCAACAACATGAAACATCTTGATTGCCTAGAGAGATTTGCCTGCAATGATTCATCTGAACAATAATTAAGAATCTACTGTTAAGAACTTTTCATTATGGTGATGAATTCACATGATTATATCATGTGTCTCATCCCCTAATATTTATACATAACACTACATGCTTCAGTCAGAAATGTGTTCTGACATTCTGTGTATGTAATGTACAGAATTTAGCAGTGTTAGGTGGAGATGGATGAGCATAACCACAGAAGACAGTGGTAGTTACTCCAGGAGGAGCTTAGTTTTCCTTTTTTTTCCCTTCTTCTTCTTCATGTCTGCTAAGCAGACTGGAATGGACAGAATAACAAAATAAAAGGCAAGACTGCAGCTCTGAGTGCTGAGAGAACATGTGCATCTCACATGGAGGATTCACCACTGAATGCTTCAGATGGTTTGTTTGCAGTGTTGCAGGTATTCCTGACCTTTTTGGTCTCCTTTTTAATGAGGTTAGGTTCAAGTTCAAAGGAAATAACAACTTATACTCACAGAATAAGAAAGACAGAAAGAAAAGAAAGAAAGGCCACTTAATTACATCTTCATGTTTATGACTCACATGACTCTGTCCCCATAAACAGATTTCATTACTGGAATCATATTTCCAGTGTGCATGTATGTAATGTAATAAATTTGACTGAAATATCAAGAAGGTGTTAAATGGCAGAGCCAGGTAAGTTACACAGAGCTACATGGAACACAGGAACAAACAGCTCAAACGATTTGTGCATGCTACCAGTGCAAAAAGCTAGGAGGCTTTTCAAAGACAGCTGGATGAGCATAGCTGGAACATGGTTTTGAGCTCAAAAGGATTAATTCCATGTTTTAATGTATTGAATACTTGCCTTAACATGTAAAATACAAAAGCTTTGGTGTTTGCCAGGACCTCATTATGTCAAATGCTGCTTAAAAGAAAAATAATATGCTCATGCAAAAGAGGTGACCCTTTAAGGAGAACAAATAGATACAAATGGGTAAAGGCAGTGTCAAAGTGAAACATCACTGGCGAGCATGAACAGTAATTGCAGAATCATTTTTTGCCAAGTTTCTTTAGCAGGCTAAATATTAAGAGCAGAGAAGGTTAAAATACTGCCAGGACACCTAGGAGACTAATTAGGATGTATGCTTGATTTAGTTAAAATTTCAAGAAGTTTTCAAATTACTCAGTTTCTTAGCATGGAACACACTGAAGTTCTAATCCTCTGGAGCCAAGGTTGAAAGGTCTCACTAATAAAGCTACTTTAAAAAAGAGAAAAACATTAAAATCTCAGGTCTCTTAGGAACATGAGCTAGGTTGGATAACTAGGAAGCTTTTTCAGGGCTGTGAAATCATGCACAATACAAAAAAGAATGAGCTCTCTCAGAGTTATCTGCCCAGCTGTACTCAGCTGGGGTGGGGCTGCAAGTGGGGATTTCCAAAGGTATGTTAAATCAGGCTGTAACTTGAAGTCTCAGAACTTATATGAATGTTGCTGCAGGGCATATCAAAGCCATAACTCCATGCAAGTATTTATAATTGAAATTGTATTCTTAGAGAACAAAATGAATTTATGAACAGTATTTGAAGCAATGTTATGTCATTATTTATGATAAGTTTACTGAGTACTGTAATTAATAACCAATGACTACATAAATAAAACACTCATGCAGGTCTCTGAGCACATCATTTCATTCAGAGCTGTGGCAGTTAGGGGGACAAAAAGAATCCATGTCAATCTGGCACAGGAATAAAACTTAACATAGAGCTAGTAACAGATTTAATTTCAAGTATGTGAATAGATATGACAAGTGGGCGAGGGGTAATTTTATGCCATTTGCACAGCACTGTATTGTACTCCACATCCTCTCCAGGAGGTGGTCATGGCTAAATTCCAGTGCTTTGATGAAAAGTGCAAAACAAAAAAAAAAAAAGCACTGACGGCAGAAAACTGATCTCCCATAGTGACCAAGGAGCCTTAAAACATTGTATTAAAATAAATAAATGGGTTGGGTTGTTTTTTTAAAGTAATATTGCTCATTTTCAATCTCTTTGTATGATGCTTCAGATTAATATCAGAATTCAAGTTTTAAATATTAGGAAATTCCCCTATATAAGTATATAGTTCCCCCCATAAAACTTGCCAGACTCCATTCTGAAACAGTTCTGGTTCCCTTCTTCAAACATCCTGTTTTGAAAACCTCCAGAATGTCATTGTGTGGAAGATCAGACAGAAATCACACAGTTTAATTTACATTTTCAGAATATGCATGCCAGTAAGTAAAAAAACCCAATGAAACAACCTCCCTGAACCCACTTAATGCCTTGGGGTTTTTCAGTTGCCTCTTGCAGGAGAAATGAGCAAGGTATTTATCTTGTCTATTTTACTGCAGCTTACTGAAACCAGCTAGAGACTCTTACAGGTGTATTGCTGAGAAGCTGTGATACTCTTTTGTGCCATCACTCATCCCCGGGCGTGTTTGGAAAATATGACAAGGATCATGCAGAGTATGAGTAACAGAGTAATGCTTCCCACAGTGCAAAGGCAAGCCCAGAGCACAGAGAGAGCTGCTCAGTAACCAGGCAGTGCATGGAGTGGTCTGGGGTGTTTGCAGGCACACCTTTAGAATGACTGTTGTGTGTTACTCCTGCCAGTGCCAGGAAATCTGGGCTGTTACAAGGACCATGGAGAGCCACCACCTTTGACTGGCACCAGCGAGACCTCCAACAAGCTCACAATCCAAACGTGCATCAGCTCCTGCAGAAGTCAGCAGTTCAAGGTGATTTCTTTGACATACATTTACAAAATCTTTTCAAAGACAAAAATGGCAACGTGCCTAGAGATCTCTGGCATATTTCTCCTCTTCCCCAAATTTTTTAACCTTTGGGAGGTCTAAGGTTGCACTTCCACCCCAGAGATCAAGGCCACTCTCTGCATCCAGAGGAATCTGGACAAATGACTAATGAATAACATCAGGAGAAAATATGGATTCTTACTGCAGTTGTGAGTGTCAGGGTGCCCTCCATTCCATCTTTCCCCCTAGTCTTAAGTAGCATCCTGACAGCCCAAACAAAAATAGCCTGTGGTGGTTCCTCTGACTAGTGATACTTCTCCAAAACACACAGATTCTGCTGCCAGCTTTCTTGCTCAAACAACCTCCCGCTGTCACTCCTTCAAGTTCTATTCCTCTTTTCCTTATGCATCTTTGTTGTCAAAGTTTGCAGGCATGGAATCAGGTTATGCTTGTTTCTGTGGAAATAATCCTGACTACTGGAGATACGGGGAGGCAGCCAGTACGGAATGCAACAGTGTTTGCTTTGGAGACCACACTCAGCCCTGTGGTGGGGATGGCAGAGTCATTCTTTTTGACAGTAAGTATTGAAGCAGCCTCAGTTTTTCCCAAAGGAGAGGCCTCACATGTTTAGCAAATTAGGCAAAAGGCTCAAAAACATTGAGAGCTGTTGCACACCAAACAACAAAACACCTCCATTCAGTATAAAATAAAGCTGCTTTCTATTTCTGCCTAAAATTCTCATCCATTAGTAATGTGAAATAGCTCTTCCAAGAAATGATGCTTGCTCATGCTTCAGAAGTTCTCTCACTTTCCTCACGAGTGGTACGAAGTCAGCTATCAGAAATTCCCTAAGAAGTGATCTTAGTAGAGAGTAAAAAATTGTATGTGCATGTAGGGGTATGCATTATCAGTTGGTGGCATTGGAGTTGCTCTCTGGATTCCCTGGTGTTTAAAGTTTTCAATTTCATACAGCTGTGAAGGAATGTCAGTTATTAAGCAGTGAGAATCAATAGCCACTAATCCACTTTCCTGCCTGCCTGATGGGACTGGAGTAGAAGCCCCTGAATCAGTGATTTATCTTTTAGCCCATTTCTGCAGGGATGCAGGGAAGGGTACACGGTTACACACAAGACAAGGGAGAATTGCAGTATTCAAGACTGATGCATAGGTCAGAGTAGTGAGGCCTGAGGAGAGTATTCCAAGCAAAGACAAAGGCTGTGCTCCCTGTGCTGTGGGAGCCAAGGAGCAGCTGCAGAGTGCATCCTGCTGGCCTAGCAAGTCACACGTCACACTTAACTATTAGAATCTACAGGGTGCTAAAGCTTTGCAAAATTAACATATTACCTCTTTTTTCTCTTTCTTCCTATTTTTCTGCCTTTCCTCTTGTTTCCACAGCCCTTATTGGTGCCTGTGGAGGGAATTACACGTCTGCTACAGCTGTGATCTACTCCCCAGATTTTCCTGACACATATGGCACAGGCAAAGTCTGTTACTGGACCATACAAGTTCCAGGAGCATCTCAAATCCACTTCACCTTTGTCCTTTTTGAAATCAAAGATGCTACAGATATGGTGGAGTTGCTGGATGGTTATACCTATCATGTTCTGGCTCGTTTTAATGGCAAGAACCGGCCTCCCCACACCTTCAACATCTCTTTGGATTTTGTCATTTTGTACTTTTTCTCAGATGACATCAATCAAGCCCAGGGATTTGCTATCAGGTATAGAGGTAAGAGGCTGCCTTTGCTGTTTCGACCTTTCAGTGAAGCATTTAATTCACACAGGAGATTTCTGAAGTGGCAATTAAAGAACAAATACTTTAGCTCTGATCTAACAGGTGTTTCATCTCTTGTTGCCACTACTCAGTGAGTGAAAACTTTAGCAAAATTTCTCTCAGTTTAGAACATTCCAGTCAGCTACATCATAAATAGCAAAATGCAGGTTTTCAAAATTCAGTTCTAAACCTTCGTGTTAAAACAGAGTGGAAAACGACAAAGGGAAGCAATAAAAAAACCCCCCAATAATCTATCTGCATGTTGGTTCATCTTGGCTCCTTCCAACAGTCTCTTCCTCTCCAGTTGAAAGTCATCAGGAGAAAATGTTGTGATCCTCAAGTTGTACCCATGTGTACCTCAAGTTGTTACAATGAACAATCAGCTTCCAGAAAAATTCTGAGAACGCAAAGCTGGTGAAGTACAGGCTTTTTTAGGAATCAGATGTAATATGATTATTTGAGCTCTGTGAAGTAAACCAGAGAGCAGCATGTCTGTTTATAAGCACAAAATAAAGTCCAATTACACCTGTTAAGAAATTATTATTGTAACCATACTCTCGTGTTTTCAGCTGTGAAGGACAATGTGCATCAGAACAAGACCCCAGTGAATCACACCCTTTCAGAGAGGATAAATGAACAAGCAAATCTCAGCATCAATGCAGCCCGGTCATCAAAGATACTCTATGTCATCACAACCAGCCCAAGCCATCCAACCAGCTCCATGCCTGGTAATGATACAATAAAATGTGAAAATGGGAAAATACATTTTGCCAAAGCAAAATCTGGGGTCACTGTTTCCTTTGCTGCCTCTTCTACATCAGCAGATCCGCTGTGCATCTTACTAACAGATTAATTTTCATTCAGTCTAATTAGCACTAACTAGGATTCTCTCATTAAGTTTCAAAACACTTCTCAGCCTAAGTCAGAAATAGTGTGAAGATAGTGAGTTCTTGGGAATGAAAGCACATCCAAATACATGAATCAGAGCAGCCTCCTTATTGAAATCAGCTTTAGTGACCACTGCATGCCACAGAAGGGCTCAAGTTGCTGAAAAAAGAGGAAACTTTACTTTGTAGAGTCTAAAATAGTTTAAATGCTGGTTGCATCCCTGTTACCCCAATTAACAAAAGCCTCATCAGTAATACAAAGAGGACTAGACAAGTTAATGGGTGTAGGGGAGGTGTCACTGAGAACTGTCATGTGTTTAGAACTCACCTTCAGGACATCAGTGAACTCAGGAAATTGCTGAGTTGTAAATAATTGAAGGCTGGAAGTGCACCCTTGGTGAATATCACTATTCTTCTCTCCTGTTGTTAAACCACCTTGGGCATCTGCTTTAATGTAACATTGAAGCTGAGCCTCAGTCCCAATGTGGACACTCCCACAGTCCTGAAGCTGTCTGCATCCCAAACCTGAAACAAGAGCTGCACACACCCAAACCAGACAAAAAGGTGCAGAACGTGCCTAGGAATAGTCTGGGACTAGGCCCAGCCTAATGCCTGACTTACCACAGTTAAACCTCAACTTTCTAGGGTTAAACTGCCCCAGGAACACCAACAGAAACTTCACCCTTGGATTTTAGGCAGTTTAAAAAATACTTTTCGAATCATCATGTACAGGCAACGCTTTGAGGAAGGGGCAGTGGGTGGAAGGGAATTTCTGCTTGCTTTCCTAGATAATTTTACTAATATATGCTTTGAATTTTGCCAGCTTTCAATTTTATTGGGAGAATTCTGCAAGGGAAAAAAACAGTTCTGACTGAAAGTTTCATGGTTTGTGCCAGTCTGCAGAAAATACTTGTAGGTTTAAGGCATTGTAAAATTGCAGACTTGAATAAAGCATCACAAGGCTGCTTGTTCCTTTCATGCAATATTCTTACTGTAAAACTGTAAATAAATGAATGTACTGAGAGTTCTCCCCCTCTCTTTTGCAGAATGGACAATATACAGTCTCACAGCACTGCTCATCCTAAGTGTTACAGCCATAATAGCAAAGATACTTCTGCACATTACCATGAGGTGAGTGTGGAGCAAAACCAACCACAGAGAACCAAGATCTCGGCTCTGAACCAAACCTGGGGCTCTTCTCTGCTTTCTGATTATCAGATTGGCCAAATTCCAAACCAAGTTAGTTAGTACACATTTGTATCCTCATAGAAGATCCTAAATAAGCACATTTGTTAAGTTTCCAGTCTGTTAGGATAGCATTTACTACTCGACTATCTCTTCTACTCTTGATTTGGCAAGATTTGTACTTTAGGAGGAAGGAGAAAAATGTTACCAGACATCCAGACTTGGTGAGGTAAAATTATGGTAATACGTCACAGGGGAAAAAAAAATTAAAACCTCTACACTCATACCAAGTAAATTTTGTGTCCTCTAGATGGACATTCACTGAATGAAATGATGGGTGAGTTATCAGCAAATCAAAATGCTGAATATTGTATTTACATAATACAAACACGCTTAAATATACAAGGAAGTTAATTTGTATTGATAGCAACTATAATAACAACAACTGCAGTCTGTGCAGCCCTCTTAGCTTAATGTCCCTGATGTCCTTAGGGTGACAAAAGGATACCTAACTTTTCATTTGGTCAAGCCAGGAAACACTCCAAAAACCTACATTTTGACAGCAGGTGAAAGAAGTGTCACAGATGTAGTGGAAGCTGTGAGCACTCCCAGTGTAGAAGAATTGCAGACATATTAATAACCACAGCTACCCAAGCACATTAACACAAGAGTGAATCAGCTCTTGTTTCCTAGGTCCCACCAGATTCCAGCTGCAGCTGAAACAGAAGATTGCAGTGATGTCACTACTGCTGGTGAGATCTGGAGTATATTTTACCAACCATCCACATCAATATCCATCTTCAAGAAAAAGCTTCGAAATCAACAAGACGATTGCAACCCACTGGTGGGAAACTGAAGTGGCTTTTATTTTGCAAGAATGGATCTTCTTAAAATCCAGGTGACTTGAGATTAACCTTCCTTTTTTTTTTTTTTCTCTCAATCTCATACCTGCTTTCCAAAAAGTCCATTTCCAAAGGCCTTTAAGTGACTTTGCCTATCTGCTGCTCTCTTGGACATACCAGTGACAAGGGATTGAATTGCAGCAGTAATTTTGAAATACCTGGTGCTCCTCAAGTCTGTAGTGCTGTTAATTACTGCCTTTAAACCATTGCACTTAAAATAGATGTAAAAACTTGTAAAATTCAAAATGTCCTGTACCCCTGCCAAAGGTAACTGAGGGGTATCTACAGGCTGAGGATTTCTTGTGTCCCACTTGCCTGTATCACTGCTACTTCAGTCCTTTTCTTCTCAAGCCTGAAGACAGAAGTGGGTACTGATAACCTCTTCAGCTACCACAGCAAACAGAACTTACTTGCCTTGATGTAAACACATCTAAATGGTACTATAGAGTAGAATGGGAATCAAAGACTGGAAAAAAATATCAGCCTGGCTGCTCAGTGCTGAGCTCTTTCTGCATTTTCTGTTTCTTGTGTCTACAAGCAGAGATGCAAACATAAAAAAATCACATTCAGGACGCCTCTAAAACAACATTCAGCTACAAATATGCATTTTGATTGACTAGTGCTCACCAGGTCAAGGCCTGCATGAGTATTGAAGCCTTTTAAATGGCTCTGTCCGACCCATCATTCACTGATGTTTATGATAATTTTGTTCATATTCACAGTGATCCTTCAAAAAATTATTGTACTCCAGCCTGACAGCCAGCATTTATCCTGGGTATAAGCTTAGGGCTTCCTAAAGGATTGTCCAAAGATACCATAATCCACTGAATTTTTATCAGTGAGGCTGACTAACAAATGTTTACTCTGAAGTCACATGTATTAATCTCACTGCCCAAACTATTCACAGAGCTGTAGGTTGCTATCACCAACTCAGCTGGGCCAGGCTGTGCAGCTGAACATGCATGGAACAGCTGCCCTGACACTTAGCTGTGGGGAGAAGTGTCTCCTTGCCTGCAACACTAAAACTGAACTGAATTTTTAAGGTAATTGCCTTAATTATCAAAGAACTAAAGCATCAGTGGGGTTCTGATCTGTGAACTATTTTCTCTTTGATTGCAACAGACAGCATTAACTGCTTCTTCTGTTTGGTAGACTGACTGTCCATCCACAATACTCAGATTTCTCATCCCACCACCACAAGTGATTCCAAGGGATCAGCAGTGAGTCAGCCTCAGCAAATTCAGACAAGCAGGATATTTAGGAAAAACTGTCAATGCAAATGTCAGATTAATTGAATGGCCAAGTTTACAGTGGGCAGCTCCTCAAACTCAGTTGGAGGAAGTTCACTGGGAACCAGTAAACTACAGTAATTCTGGTTAAGTTTGAACATGTACCAATGGTCTGCATACACCAGATGTGCAGAGAACATCCATTAAGTGCATCTGCAAAAGGTAATTGAGATAAGTAAGAAAATGGTCACTGAGTTTAAATTCATTTTATCTGCCCTTAAGTTTTTTACCATGTAACTCCCTCCTTTTTGTGATAACTAGATTTCATTGAAAAAACAGGGCATCACAGAATTAAGCAGTGAAATACTGTGCCTTACCACTGCAGGTCTGGTCTTTTACCTGAACTGAATTCAGTCCAGCTCGATTTATGTACCACAGATGAGTGCTAGAGACAGCTGAACAATATCACAATGCATGCTTAAAAGAAACCAGACTTTACTAAGCCAGCAATTATGGAATTGTTTATGTAAAAAATGGAATAGCATGGGAACATGTAGTACTTTCTTGTATGAGCTGCTGGAAAGAATATAGGAAAATATAACAACAGTATTAGCTAAAATGAAGACAGGACAAGTTGTAAAAAATGTGCTGGTTCTCTCTAATGTGTCATCATGATGGATCAAAAACCGTTGTCTGTTTCAGACCCAACAAAAGTTCTGAAATTGCCTTTTCTAAAACTAAGATTTTGCACCATGCTGTGTGGAGAAATTCACCTCAGAGATTCACAGCAAACAAAGCAGGTTGGTTCCTAAGCATCCTTAATTTGGTGCACTAATAGCAAAGCAGGCAGACAGAATCTCAGTGGGGTGCCAGATCCTCAGGAGCTGTTATGAGCACAGTGCTTGTCACAAAGTGATGAAGCTTTGCCTGCCTTCTCAAATGCAGTGTCAGAGAGACATTCATAAAGCAGTTACCTAATGGTGATAAACTGAAAAAAACATCAGGAATACTCAGTGGCTGATTTACACCTACTGCAGAAAAAAAGTACAGGATGTTACACTTCTCTTTCTTAGTGAAGGACTTACTTTCACTATAATATTAGAGAAAATATTACAAACAGCAACAAAGACTGATGCTAATGCAAAATCTAGGGAATTCAATAAGTGAGATTTTTGCATTACTCCTTTTGCTCCTCAAGTATTTTTTATGTAAAATTGTATTTCATGGGACTTTCATGGGGAACATTAATCAAATTTATGTACAAAAGTCCCATAAAACCAGCACTTACAGCAGATTAACTGCTCATGGGAACAATAAACATGACTATATTAGACAGTGCATGGGTAATACACTGATAAAAGCATAGAAGAAATTATGTTCCCCCCCACCAAGTCTTTCAGAGTAGCTGATTCTAGATACTTCTAGTGCAAGCAAACAGAGCAATGGGTGGAAATTCATGGACAGGGTCCCTTAAATAGCACTTATTACTTTACAGGGCTCAGACCATGAAGAGCAGGTAGCTCTCCAGTGTGGGATTTTTCAAAATGTGGTAGGGTCACTCACACTCCTAGTGCAGACACTTCAGGGTATGGTGATTTATGGCCAAGATAAGTGGTATCCATTAATGTAGCATGTTTTGATCTTTGCTGTAAGGGTTTGGGGGAAAAAGAAACAAGAAGTGTGACTATGCACAACTGTTGTAATCCCACAAAAGAAATGTCCCTACTACACAGCCAGCTGAGAGCTGGCAGCTGGGGAACAGGGACACCTCAGGATGTTGGTGTTTACACCATTTCCTTCAAAAAATTTGTTTGGAACAATTTATATCTGAACAGCCTTCTGAGCTCCTGCCTAGCAGTTGCCTCAGGAGGCTGGACAGGCTGCAAATGTGACAGTGGCTAAAACATGAAAAGCAGCTGTTTTGATAACCAAATCATCATGAGGAGCAGCCTCCTCATTCACATGGATTTCAGCTCCTGCTCTGGCCCCCTGCTCACTCTTGTGTTGGTGTGACCAGCTGTGTAGTGGTGCAATAAACTGATCAGGTCAAAAATTGCCATGGTTTTTTTCTTCCCTGAGTTACTTTTTACAGAGCTGAGCTCTCTGACCTTGCTCACGGGGTGGTTGCACAGGGAGATGAGCTAAGAGCTCCCTGAGTCCACAGCAAAGCAGACAAGAAGCCATAGGACAAGGACAGATTGGAGCTGGGGCAACTTCTGCTGGAAGTGCCACAGCAGGGGTTTGTGAGCCTGCAGCCCAGATCCAGCCTGCACTGTGTGTGGACCTCAGGTGGAAAGGGGCCAGCTGGACAAGTGCCTTCCCTCATTCAAAATCTACATTTAAAACTAGTTTAGTTTGTTGACTACATGATTTTATATGTATTTTTATCTTAATATTGTTATGTTGTGGGAAAATAGAGACTTTGTTATGTAAAAATGTGTGATGTGTTATAGTAATATATATATTTGTATATGTATAGGAAATGCATTATTTAATACAGCATATTATGCTTGTATCTTGCTAACATTTTATAGGAAAAAAAGATGTTAGTTTACACTCTGGGAAAAATAAATTTTCTATACACTGTAACTATAGGGAAAAAAATCAAAAATACTTCTTTGGTATATATGACAGAAAGACATTGAGAATAGGGGAACTCAGCCTCAGTTTTATGACAGAATAGATGCTGATAAAACAATTGCTGCAAGAAACACTTTTCTCCTTTGAATCTCATTTCTAGTCTGTAATTGTATTAGGCTGTTCATCAGATCCTGCAAATTAATGTGCATATACTCTCTGGATGATTTTTACCATCAAACATGTAATCTGCTTTTCCAATTAAGCATTAACATAATCTTCTTTAGGACTTGTTTCTGCCGGATTTTCTACAGCCAGGACAATGCTGAGGCAGTTTATCACATTGCTCATACAGACAATCCAGTGGGATTGCAGAATTAAATTCTATGTATTCCAATCCCCCCTGGCAATAGTAGAAACAGGAGATTTTTATGGATAGTCCTGGAAACTGCACTGAATCTGCAGCCTGGATGACTACAGGCCAAACACATCAGCAGACACATGGCTGCCACTGAGTGAGCATAAGCAGCTATTCCACTTTCATCTTCTGCTTGACAAGCCTTCTCAGGCAGTGGGAAGGAACAGATTTTTCTAGTGCACCACTTTGCCTGAAGGAAGGGTGAACTACAAAAACAGCTCTTGACAAAAACTTGTCCAACTAGTTCTTACTGCTTTACAGCAGTATTTCACAAGCTTCCAATGAAATACAGTTCACTGATAGTTTCACCTGAATATTGTTCTGGACATTTATGAACAATTCTGCTGCCTTGAAACTGAAAAATACAATTACCTGAAGGTAACTGTCAGACCACACCAGTTTTTTTGTAACAACACATCCCCACTACACACACATTTCACTCCACTCAGACTCTCACATTTACTGAGCACCTGTGCTTTGGGATGGAATTTGGCATCACGAACTTCAGTCTCAAGACATTTTGCTACAAATCCAAAAGCTATCACATGAACCACATAAGGCTGTCAAGAAACCAGAATAAATCAAACTGGAGATGACTCGCTGCTGAAGTATGCACTGTGTTTATAACTGTTCACCCTGCATTCAGCAAATGGTTGTAAATAATGATTATGAAAAATAAATACAGTGTATTTGTGCAGGAGGAGTTCAGTTAGGATGACTAAAGTGTATACAAACATGAAATAAAGGAGGCGGGAACTGCTGCAGAGTATTAGAGCTGCGAATGACTACTTGATATATAAAGTATGATACTGCTCTGAGACACAATTTATGAGGTAACAGTAAATCGAAATTTTTCAGTTTATGTGTTTTCAAAATTTTAAAAAGAACTGTAACAATTCTTTCAGTATTTGTTTTGCAAATTGCAGCAAAGTGTAATGCTCTTTCCACTTTCTTGCAAGATTCATCTTCTCTCTAATTAATTCCTCCTGGCCAAAATAATGCTACAGTTTAAGAAACCTTTTATGTAAACACCAGAAAACCAGTAACAAACACCAAAAGCTTTTCATGAAGACTTATTTTTCTTTTAGAAACACAATTGTCACAGAGGAGGGTTTATACAGGGGAGGTTCCTCTGCTCTCCTTTCTTGCCATTCTGGTTATGGGACTCTGGCACTTTGGTTCTTTCTGGGAACTGTTCCCTTCTTTTTTCTTGGCCGTTTCCTAAGCAGCAGTTTCATTCCCCATGAGGGAAACGTGTTCTTTATTCTGAAAGAGACACTTTTCTATGAAGCATTTAAGTCACAAGAGCCCGGGGCTTTCACTGCAGGATAAAATATCTGGTTTCAGGTATGCTATTGTGTCTCTAGACAGAGAATTAGGCCGAGCTGGCTCCACAGGGTATGAACGTGGCCATCCTTTTATGGGCGTTTTTCTCTTCACACTACCCAAGTAACAACAAACGTTACCTAACAGCTGTCACAGGATTTGACAGATGCACATGATATTGCAGATAGTGTTACAGAAACACCAAGTGTTACCATAATGTATAATCCATTGAGAATAAGCTGCTCCTGCTTGTCTTTTTTTTACTATATCGAGATTCTGTGGAGGTTTGTGGTGCCCCACAGGACTCTCGTTTTGTCACAAATTTGTTCCTTAAACATCAAACCTGAAAAGAAAAAAAACCTCCCCCCCTTGCCAAGTGTCAAAATGTTCATTTTGGACAGGAAATATTGACATTTAGTCATTTTTAAAAAAACACCACAAAGACTAGACAGAGTATCACACAGAGCTAAGCACCACACACAGGTTCAGCCAGCAGGCTTGTCTTTCATGGACACACAACATGGGCTCACTGATTATTCTGTGGGACACTCAGGGTGGTGCTAGGTCCTGTTCTTAAAAGCACAATCACCTGACAGTTTTCTTCAGAGCAGGGAACAAGAAAACAGAACACCAGCAGCAACAGAAAACGGGTGGAGGGAGGGAAGAGAAGAGAGATTCAGATGTGACCTGTCAACATCTGAGTTACCAGCCACCCCCATACAGGGGTTTTATGCTACATGTGTTTCAGGAACTCATTTGCATATAAAAGGCAAATCTGTAATCACTGGCAAATGCCAAGATTCTGTTCACTGAGTGAAAAAAGGAGCACATACTTAATTGGGAAGCACTTGCTCCTGTTGCTCTCCCATTTCTGTGCTTGTCTTCCCACACAGACCAGGCTTTTCCATCGTACCTGAGATCAGGATGGGAACTGCTCCCATTCCAAGCTGTGAAGGGCCCCCTACAAAATAAAACTCTTGAACAGTCTGTCATCCCAAATGGAGTTATCAGGTACGAAACCAGGAGGGCTGGAGAGCAGTAAGGCTCATTTCTTGGCTGAATCCTGAGGTGATTGAGTTACAGTGCATTTGAACATGGATGAGAGATGGGGAAAGTCCAAGGGATTACCAGGTGAAAATCTTGGGGAGAAGAAGCTGGAGAATCCTGGAAAAGGCTCTGTGAGTGTATCCTGGATGGGAAGTGAATAATACATGAAGGTGAACTGTTTCCACAATAACATACTTAAATACACATGTACATACACAGAGCCACACACCCCCAGCTCCCCTCTTCTGGTGTCTGCATAAACATCTCTGATGAAATTGTGCTCTCTGCTGACAAAAACGATACCACAGTATTGATTTGCACTTAAGCAGGACCAGCAATTCCATGATCCAGGGCAAGGACCTGGATCTAGCTTGACTATTCAAGCTATGATTTACCCAGTTGTGTCCACCTGTATCATGCTGTCTCAAAACAATCTTATTTTGGGACAATAAATTACTTTTACCTGAAATTACAACAAAGTTATCCTGCCACAGGGAACAGGCAAGTTCCAAACATAAATGAGGATTTCTTTTAGCAGGTGTGGTACTTCTCATGTGCCTGGGGTTTCAGGGGCTTGTGTGACATGTACCCCACACTACCCCCAATGACTGGTGTGCTGTGTAAAAGCATATATATATCCACCTATCTGTTATTTTTTAAAAAAGGAAAAAATGTTGTTTATTAAGAGTTCATCTCAGTATATCTAGGACTGTACTTTGAGGAGAACAGCTATGTCCTTTCCCCCAAAACAAGAAGGACAACTCCCACATGTATATGCAATAAAACTGTATTTTTTGTGTGGTTTTGCCTTTTTTTTTTCTTTTAATACAGACATTTGTACACTTTCTTACAAAACTGCAAGTAACTACACTTCTCTTAAATCATTTTTGGTCGGCAAGTACTGTAAAATCTTTGTGTGCAATTATCATGTATTTACAGGGCCTCGTGTTAGTGATTTTCAATGATTATTACAATAATGTCACACACTCTCAACATAAGACATGGCTTAAGATAAATATATTAGTAAATAAATATTCTGAGAACATATTTCCATACATGAAATGTGCTGCTATACATATACAGAATATATACAAGATGCTTTCTAGCTTTTAAAACATTTTTAAAAATGGTAATGAAGGAGAAAGAGCCCTTTGACCATATTACAAATCTTTACAGCAAATTTTATACAAAACAATTTTAAGTGCTATAAGACAATTTTAATTAAAAACATTTTAAATAGTGCCTCATGAGCCAAACAAAACGACAACTGTTCATGTAAGTAGTAGAAAGGCATTTTGTTATAAAAACCATTTCTCATGGCCAGCTAGCCTGTAGGTCTGCACTGGACATAGAGTTTTATGTTAAATGCCAGACCCAGCACAGAAGGCAGGTGGAGGGTGTCTGTGGTATGGCCTGCAGAGACTTGTACCAGCAGAGATTTCCACAATGTGTGGGACCAGTATATCTGGGATCACCATGAGCCAGAATATTCAGAACTTTTGAAGAACCACTTTTACCACAATATGCTGTTTTAGTTACAGAGTACAATGTATCTTAGGTGGCCTTTACAGTGCCTCACAGAACACCAAGCAGAATAACCAAGCTAGTATGCCATAGCTTCTACAATGTATTTCTTTTTTAGTGGAGGAAGGAGAGGGTAAGACTTAAAAATAAAAAAAAAAAAAAAATCCAAGAATCACAAACCTTTAGTTTGTTCTCCCAACACATACCACTTACTTCAGTCATTCAGAGAATGAATAAATTTTTAATAAGCTTTATACACAGAAAATGTGTTTATTGAAAGTTTTCTTTTAATCTTATACCCAGATGCTGCCTTGTATCTGTATTCTCTGAACAGCTGAATTTTGGTGCTTGTTGATTGAAAAGATGTAATGTGAATTCCTTAGATGGAACTTTTTTCCTGACTTTCTGGGTATGAAAGCAAAAGGAAATAGACGATGTATTTGTTACTTCTTAGATGTTTCTTTCTTTTAAAATAGTTCATTTGGGACTACAGAGAATACAAGTTAGCTTTGCTGGGTCTTGCAACCAGCCCAGTGCTGTCAAGGACATTGCTTTGGCAGAATATGAAGTGTACATCTCTATTTCATGTCTTTGAAGTATCTCCAAAGTGTACTGAAACTAGGACAAATCTTTTCAGAAGACTGGCACTGTGGGCATTAAATACTTCGTTTCCCTTTAGAAGAATTCCTGCTGTGAATACACCACAGGATGACACTGTGTCCTCAGGCACATGCAGCATGACAGGCAATTTAACCCATGCTATGGTAGCCTCTTACTCAGAAGCTGCTGTTTCCACAGGAAACAATTGCTATCAGAAGTGACGACATAAAGTATCTCATGATAACAAACATCCCCACTAGGACAAGAACAAAAGTATGTGCCCAGGCTAATGGGGTACAGAGAGTGCTCTGTACACAAGACAAAAATGAAGCACAACCGGCTGGGCCCAAGAAACCTTTAAAACACATCAATCTATGGAAGCTATATCAACCACAGCAAAGAAGAAAGCAACGATTAAACCAAGTCCCTCACTTTCCCACACACACAAAAGGTGACAAGCACTGCTTCCCTTAGGAATGCGTGCAGCCTGTGAGGAAACAGAAACCCCGTTTCCAAAAATCAGCCAGCAAAGCTGCAAGCACACTGCAAGCTCTGTTTTCCTGCACATGCCAGCATTCCTCACAGCCGTAAGAGGGGCTACAGGTGCCTGAAAAACTTCCTATGGAAGGAAAAGTTCATTACCTACAAAGGTAATAATACCCTTTCTAAGCACTTTGTTCGAGCATCTGCTTGAGGGAGAGGTCCCCAGCATTCTTCACTGGTCAGAAGATACAATGAGGTCCACGGTTTAGATACAGGAAGTGAGGATGAGAACATTCTGAGCTATCAGTTTCCTTACCCCCACTCTGTTGAAACTAATCCTAATGGCGGGACACCTTCCTAGCCAAACCATCAGAGCAGCATGAATAGGGGGAAAAGGGAAGAGGAGAAAGTAGACAGTCCAATGCTTCACCTCCCTCAAAATCACTCAAATAACTTGCTGGCTGCTAGGATTTGCTACTGGGATTAATCAGTATCTGAGCATCCATTCAGCAGCTGTATCCCTCTGGATTACTATATTTCAAGGTGCTATCTGGTTTCTAAGGCAGTTGTAGCCCTGAGCTTATCAAAGGCTGGACTCCTTCAAGTAGGAGATAACAGCATCTACACATAGCCTGGCTTATTTAATACACTGTGTTACCTCTCAGAAGAGGTCACTTCTAAAAAGAAAATATAAATAACACTTTGTCATTAATATAGAAATGGCACTAGAGCTCAGAAATGCTCCACACCATGTCCCACATGGGCTTTGCACACAAATCAAGGCCTGAAGGCTTCAGGCAGGAGGGACAAAGGAGACAATCAAACTGAAGTGAACACAGAGGAAGTAGGGAGGGACTTCTCCACATTACCACTTTTGTGTGTTTGTCAAAGCTTAAAAAAAGTTAAGTCCATGAGAATTTGGAGTCTCTGATAAGCTCCGCTTCTCCATCTGGGATCATCTGGACAGGTCTTAGTCACTGATTTGGCTTCTCTCCAAGGGATGAGATCCAGCACCTGAAGGATAAAGAAAACTAAGGAACATTGCATACAGTTTTGGGCCCCCAGAACAAGACACTCACTGACTGGAGTTTCACAGAGAGCCAAGATGCTCAGAGGGCTGGAGCACTTGGTGTGAAGAGGCTGAGGGATCTGGGCTGCTCAGCCTGCAGTAAAGGCATCCCTAGCAGCTTTGCAGGAACTACATGAAGATTGTCCAGTGATGAAACCAGAGTCTTCACAGACATGCATTCTGAACAAGAGGTGAGGAAGTTAAGTTGAAATATGAAATGTTCAGACTGGACAGAAGGGAAATTTTTTGACTGTAATGGCAGTCAAGCACAGCCACAGGAGTCTAGAAAGGGACTGCACTCTGTGTTCCTGAAGGTTTATCCAGCCTGACTGGATACATTTGGTCTAATCTTTCAAACTTGGTCTGGTCTCAGAGCTGGCTCTGCTTTGAGCAGGGGGTTGGACTAGATGATGGCCTGAGGTCCCTTCCAAACTAGGGTACCTTGTTATTCTATGAATACTCTTTAAAATAACCCTGGCAAGGCAGGTAAGAAATATCCCCCTCTTACTGCGAGTGGTTATTTTTTCCCCCTTGTCTATGTCCACAGCAGAGACTTTTCCCACATAGTTTTCTATGGCAAATCCAAGATTCACACCTTTTTCAGAAAAAAACCCTTCAGCTAGTCTGTTGTCTCTCACAGTGGCCTTGCCTCCTTAGGCAACTCACCACAGCTGCCATGACTAGCACAGTGTCTCTTGCTGTGGGAACTTTAATGGGGGGTCCCTCCCCACAAAGGACGAGCATGGAAGCTTGTATAGAATTAACTAGGAAGCCATCATGTTCTCCTCCTCTGGCTATGACCAAATGAGCACAGGTAACCAGGGAATAATACTTTGGGGCAAATGGTTAATCAATAATCTGCTCTTATGTGAAGGATGAAGTAACCTTTATGGCTGCAGGTACCTAAGAAGCTGGAAGCGTTTCATACACTAACACAGAAAGTTAGCAAGTAATCAAAACAAGCACATATGTTACCTGTGGCCTTTGTGGTCATCATAAGCTTCTGGGAGTTCAGAGTGGGACTGGGAAAGGGCATTCCAGTTTCCTCCTCCTGAGAATATTTCTGCCGCAGGAATGATGTTGCCTCATAGCACACCTCCCTCTCGACCTGTACCTCTCCAATACCTTGACAGTGCAGGTAGGTGTCTAGCTCAGGTGTTGCATCCCAGGAGCTACAGCCTCCTATGTGGGTCCCTTGGTGCTCTGGTGGTAGAATCAGCTCAGAGTCTCTGTCTTCAGGAATTATGGGAATGCGTTGACCCAGATCACAAACACCCTTACAGCAGTTTGGCAAGGTGTCATCAGGAAGGGTGTACTGCACATTCACTGCATAGTCTTCTGTATAGCAGCCACCACCTCCACTGCCACTGTTGCTACTACAGGCTACCTGCTTCTCTTCATAGAAGCAGCAGGGCAACCCCTCATATTTTACCCCATCTGTCCTATGTAAGTGGTCTGAGTTAATACTGTACAAGCCTGGGGTGTTCCCTGACTGTGGTTCAATTCCTTGGCCACACGTCCCCCACAGTGGAGAGCTAAGGAAGAGTGCACTGCAGTCAGCTGTCCCATTGCTAGGCTCCAGGGCAGAGTGCTGGAATTCAAAGCAGCATGCACATGCCTGCTCCGAAATCGACCCTGCTATCTCTGGATTCTTCCAGTTCCTTTTAACATCCAAGGCAGCACCAGGAGTGGCCTCAGGTCCTCCCTCTGAGGTAGTGCCATTTGGATCCCTGTGCTCTAGTGAGGAATTACTGCTATAGTTCATATCCATGCTGCAGTTAGACAGTTGGTCCCCTGAGGAAGAAGCTGGCACAGGCCGGCAGTCAGCACCCACCATGCCATGACCGTGAGCTGGAAGCTCGTCCTGGTGGGGGCCCTCCAAGAGCACAACTGCACCCCTGTTTGCACCACCGACCTCACCCACTCGGCAAGGGCTCCTGCTGCGGTAAACGTACGGGTCATAGTCACTGCTCAAAGAGCTGCGGAAGGTGGAGCAGCTCCCGTAAACCCCCTGGTTACTGACCTCAGTGCAGTCAACCATGGAATCGCTGGAGGAGCAGTGGCACTGACCAGAACTGCTGCTGCTGCTGTCACTCCCAGGGCAGTCAGCCAAATAGCCACTGCACACTGAACGATGACCGTGATAGCAGCTAAAGCTGGAGGTACTGCCGCTCTCCAGGCGGGACGAGGGCATTACGTGTACCACGGGAGGGAAAAGCATGCTGCTGCCAGGCTGAAAGGCACGGGAAGGACCCTTTGAGGAAATGCCAGCTGGAAGCTGTCCATCTTGCTCAGGGTAACTAAGGCCTTGGAAGTAGTAGTGCTGATACATGGTCTCGTATCGGGAAAAGCACGCTGCTTTGGAAAAGTTGCGTCCACCAAACTTGGGTCTCCGGAAGTTGTGGGCTGGAGAGTAAGCCCTGTGCTCCAGGCTACAGTGATGTGTGTTTAAAGCATGGTCCAAATGAAGAGGCTGATAACTGCGAATGTAGGCCGGGGACGGGGCTTGGTAGAGGCTCTGTTCGCCGTGGCGCTCGAGGGTCAGTAAGGTGATGGGGTTTCCGTGGGGGTCCATGCTCGTCCGGGTGGGATACGCCGTTATCTGGCTGGCTCTGTGCACTCGGCCCGGGTAATGCACAGGCAGAATCACCCTCTGCTGCCGGCTGCGGGCTGGGTTGATGGATTCCAGACAGATGGGAGCTGCATTCCCCTTCTTCTGTTCTGAATGAGAGAATTAAGAATGGAGAAGTAGAACTAGCAGGGAATAAAAGGGAATATACTTTACACAAGAAAGAAGGATGTTTTGTTTTCCATGTCAATATATTATGCACCAATTTTTTTTTTACACAGAAGGAAATAAGTGCTAAACAAAACAATAAAGAGTAAAACAAAACAAAACAAAAGCACGTCTGGAAAACTTTGAAACACTCAAATGTATTTAGTTACGAAGCAAAAGAAGTGAATTTATTTCAGATACTGTTCTCATATATGGAACATCTTTTGCTTACATCTTGAAGAGGCTGAGAGAGGCTGGAAGTCATTGCTCAAATTTTCACTTAATGTATTTTTTCATAAATGTGCAGTGACAGAAAACTTTCTTAAGACAGAGGAAATGAAAGCAGGAAGAGGGCAAGTAAGGGAAACCACGTTCCAAGTTACAAAACCATGGAAAAATAAAAGTCACATACATTGTTTTCTTTGTAATCCCCAAGGGAAAACATATCCCTTTTCTCCATGCGTCCTTGCGCTCAGGGCTGCACAACACTGCCCTCAGCTGGGCATCATCCCCGCCCCAAGGTTATGCCAGGAGCACTCAGCTGCTCTCAGAGAGTTTGGGGCTAACTGTATTTCCAGGGCTGTGTTACAATAAGGACTGAGAGCTCCACGGAGATTCACAAACAGGCACGCTTTTTATTTCGTCTTTTAAGCTGTCTGAAATAAACACCACACCCGAGCAGCCACCCTGCAGCACTTACCTATGATGTTATGGCGGCAGTGAGGGCAGGTGTGATGCTGCAGCAGCCAAGGATCCACACATTTCTTGTGGAATCGATGAGTGCAAGGAATGACACGCAGTTCCTACAGGAACAGATGAAGGACCATGAAAAAGTACTTCTTCCTAACAAGTGAATTTTTCACAGCTTGTTCCTAGTTTTTTTTCAACCTGGCTACTAAATGGAGCAATTCCTAGTCTTGAAGTGCTAAGAAGCAAAAAAATGATATTAAGACAGCCAAGAGCCCAACAGATAGTGCTCAGCTGTCTCTAATAGTCTGCAGGCACCTTAGAACCCCGTGCAGACACAGGACATTTCTTTAGGACACTTTTTGTAGCGTGTCCCTATGACCCAACACCTTTAAGAAGGCCATCACTAAAGCTTTCCTTAATATATTAAATGAACTTAAAAAAAAAAAATAAAAAAAAAAATAAAGAGTAATGATGTACCTTTCCTACAATTATCTACAATGGAAAACACTCAGGGTAAAAGGAAAACCAACACAATCTATATGATACTTTTTCTCTTGCCCAGGACTCTTATCCTTCAGCTATGATCTATTTACAGGATTTCCTGACTCTGATGGGTATCTCAGAAACCTGCACGAAATCTTTCTTCCAAGTACTCCTCATGAGCTTAGGTTTTCAATTTCTAACATGCCTTGGCAAAGAATTCCATGCAAGGAGGCTACTACCTCCTGGTGGAGAAACACCACACAGCTTTGTATTCCCCTCTGTCCCCAAGTAATCTGGGTCTAAAGAGTCCTTGTCCACTCAATCACTTGGGTGTTTTTTACAGAAACCATTCAAAATAATTGATCGTTTTGTGACTACCCTTTACCGAAGCACCTTTGTTTCCATTCCATATCTTTTGTGAGGTGAGATCAGAAGTACACAGTACTCAAAGTAAGAACATGACTAAACTTACACTGTGGTGTAATGATGTTTTCTGTTCAATTCTCTAGACTTTACCATCTCATTTCCAGTATATGATTTGCCTTTTTAACTGCCACGAAGCAGTTAAACTGCCACCAATATGCTTTCACAAAGCTATCTAAAGCATCAAGATTTTTGTTCCTGAATAGCCATGCTCAGCTCCCAACCCATCCCTGATATATGTGAAGCTCTTCTCTACGTCTGTCACTTCAAGCTGAAATTCATGCCTGAATTTCCTCTCCAGTCAGTTTGTACAGACCTTTTGAAGTCCTTGTCTACCTTCATCCTTGCTACTCTGAATAATTTCCCATCAACTAATTTCATTAAACTTTCTATTTGCACCTTGCAGCACTCAAATATGCCGCTGGTATTTTCTATTACCGTAAAAATGATGATCTTTTATGACTCATTTCAAAATAAAATGTACTCACATAATCTTCCTAATGGAAGTGGATAGCTGTGAATATTGACTGTCTCTATTTTATTTATTTTAAGGAGCCCATTTTCTATTCCACCTATTTGTTGTTTCCACTGAGTAGAACCGTCACGGACACGAAGCCCTGACATCAATGAAGTGACAGTAACTGAGGAGTCAAAAAGCTGTTCCTGAACGTTTTGACCTCTCTTCCTTCTCCTCCTCTGGTTTCCCAGCAGTGCTGCGTACTTGACATTTCTAAGACAGGGTGCCATCATATCTTGAAAAGCAAAACCCTAATGGTATTCCTTACCTCCAGCAGAACTTGCATGCATCATCACCTTAGTGCCTAACTTGCCAAAAATACCCAGAGAACCAACTGCTGAGGCAACTCTGACTTCTTTGTGACTTGTTCTTCAGAAATGTAAGAACAGTGGAGGTACTGACTTGCAAATGGGATCCCTCACCTCTCACTTTGCAGCCTGGGTGATTCAGAGCTGCAGGGTGCAGCTGAGGCTGCTCAGTGTGATCAAAGTGACAAGTGGCACCATCTCAGCACATAATGTACCCAACATGAACCACACTGCTAAAACCACCTACGTTCCCAGCCCGTGGTGAAGAAACCTTTCATCCTTTACCTCCCCATCAATGTACTTCTCCAAGCAGATGGCACAGTCAGAGGTGGAGCTGCTACTGAGTGTATCCAGTGCTCCACAGTTACTTTCTCGGTGTCCCTTACTTTTGGACTTAAACTTCCTGGTCTCCATTTTCTCCAGTGCTTGCACTGCAAGCCTGTTCATGGAATTCTACATGAGAAGAAAGAAAAAAAAAAGAAAAAAAAAAAGAAAAAAAAAAGCCAATGCTGCTGTGTAAGGGACTAGTGTAGTAGCAGAGAAACACCATCATATCTTACAGATCATGTCAGGCACAACTGATGTATAATTTCTTAAATTAAACAGAGAGAAGGCTAATTAGAATTCCGATCAGAAGCCTCATGAAAAGAATGTATGCCACATGCAGAAGTGAGAATGACAAACTACTCTGAATTACAGCTGGGTGAAGGTGCTGACAAATGGGTCACACTGCAACTGCTCAATTGACAGGCAGCAACTATTCAAGCCAACATATAAAACTTGGCCAGGAACTCTTTTTATATGTCAGTATTGATTGTAATGCCCCAATATACTGTTACCACCATATTACCTGGAGCAACACTTGAGAAAGGGATTAAAATGAAATGTTATAAATTAGCTGTATCATTTCCTCCAGGACAAACTCAAAGTATGTCACCTGGAATATCTCCTAGCCAAACTTTTTACCTTGAAAACTCCTCCCATTTCAATAGACATTATCCTATTCAAATAATTTGCTATTTATTTTCAATCCTCTCCACAATACAGCAGCAAGAGTCTGGACTTATTTAGGAGTATACCAGTGCTACTGAAAACCTGTGAGCAACCAGAAATGTTCTTTCTTCCCAGTGGCTAAGTGGACTGTTTTCATTTCAGGATATAACTGAACAAACATCATGGGTCAATGTAAGTCTCCTTTAAGGATATTTCCAAGTTCTTCCAAAGTTCTTCCAAATTCTTCCTACACACATGGATAAAACCAGAGAGCCACCAAGATGGCTAATATACGTCAGCATCCTGCATTTCCAGAAGTTGCAAGCACATTTTAGGACAAAGTAAGAGAAGCTAACTTTCAGCATTCAGTGAATTCCCATTACTGCTCTTACCTGACTCCGTCGCTGTTTCAGTTTGATCTTGACAAGAAGAATGAGGCAAACAAGAGACACAACCACAAAGAAGGCCAGGAAAATTCCCATATCAAAGTACTCAGTGGGTTGCTTAAAAATGAAAACAAAGGTGTTATTTTCCCTTCTTTTAGATCATACTCAAATCTGTTGTTTCTTTCTCTTTTAATTTTAAAGGGGCTGTTGCTGAATGTACACAATCAGAATGGCAGAAGTCGGAGTACACATTGTTCTGGTCATTAACTGGGATTCTATGAGACAAAACCTGTGTTTCACGTGCCACTGCAAGTGAACAGAATACACAGAATGCCAATCATGAGATGTCAGGTTTGCAGTCACTGAGCTGCAAAATCCAGGTTTTTTAAGTGAGTGAATCACACCAAACCAAATTTTTATAGCTTATTGGGTTGTTCATGCATGTAAGTGACTGAAAACCAGCACCTGAATTTTCAAAAAATAGCCCACTTCTCAAATACATTTCTTAACAGAAGGATTCCATTAAAAAAAACCAAGACCAAACCAAAGTGGTAACTGGAACATAGATGACCTCTAGTTTTGTTCTTCTATAAACTATATGTAGAGAGTGTAAGGAAAAAAAACTCTGGAAAAACTATGTTATATTGCAATTACAAATATCAGATAATCTCATAGTTAATCAGATAATCTCATAATTTATCCATGTTTAAAATGCGACACAGAATTATTTAACATAGGGTAAACCACCTTACAAAACTGAACCATCAGGGGTGCACAATAACTAAGTTATTTAACAAGAAAAAGGAAAACTACTGTGTGAATTTTTTAGCCATTTCTATACTCGAAAATAGCCTTCTGAATGACAGCAGATGCCACACTGTGCATTCTATACTTACACCAAGTGCAGTCCAGAGTGCAGTTACTCAGTTTATTTAGGTAAATAGAATTTCACATGTATTGATGCACTTAAGGAGCAATAGAACATCTTCACCCTCAGTGCAGTGAGCAAGCCCTGCCTGCAGTAACAACAGCACTGTGATACTCAGAGAAAGGATGTGAAAGTCTCACCCGTGGGGGGCGATGCTGAATCCTGGCCCGTGCCACTTTCTGCTTGTTAACTATGTTCATTAGCTTGACAGCATCAGCACCTTTCACATACACCACTGGTCTCTTCAGAGGGTCCTCTGAGCCCTGGTTCAGCTACAATAAAAAAAAAAAGTAGTCTGCTCAAAAGGCATGTTTCAGGAAAACCACCTTCCTTCTGGACAATGCAGGGAATCGTTAAGGAGTATGAACATGGAATTGATTTTAAGCACTGATTGTTCTCTTTTAGCACAAACCTTTAGTTAAGTATTACACAGAATTACACCTGAATTAAACTTTTGACATATGCTGCCTTTTTTTTTTAATGGACCAAAACTAAGATTAAGGATAAGCAAATGTTATTTCTGAACAGCAGTTTTAACTTAGCTACATTATGTTCAGTGCAGATATTAATACTGTAATGTGTTAAAGCTCACAATGAAGAATAATAGAAATCTGCACATTCCAGAAAAATTGTCCCGGCTAAATTCTATCAGTCTTTCAATTTCAACATTATTCGCACAGTAATTTCTTCAGCTTCTGAACAATCTCATATTGGAGTCCTGTCTTTCAGGCTCTATGTACCTAGCCAAGTTGAGTTAGTAATTTCTGATGTTAAACTCTACAAACTCATTCAAAATTACTTCAGTTCTAGCAACGATGAGACCTACTGATTGTAGGATAGGGGGCCTCAAAGACTAAAGCATTGGAGTAGACCACATAATTCACCCTGAAACTTCCTTCCAATCCAGCTATGTTTTGTCAAAAAGGCCAAATCACAGAATCAGAAAATAATGTGTGTGGGAAAGCATGTTATGAGCCCAACCTCCTGGTCAAGGCAGGGTCAACTATGACATCAAATCAGGCTGTTCATGGCTTTATCCAGTCAGATGTTGAAAAAAACCTTCAAGTATGGAGAATGTGCAACTTCTCTGGCCAACAAATCCAGAATAACAATCTGATAAATTATATACCAGAGAGAGTAATAACTAGACATGAGACTTGTTCTATTAAAAAATGGCACCAACATGATAAATTCATATAGCTTATTCTGACTTACAAGAGAAACAAGAGTGGAGAGGCTGGTTGATACAAAATAAGCAATGCACTGACAAGCAGATGGAAATGGTACAGGGGAAAGGAAAGAGATGACAGGAATGTGAGCAAATAGAAGAAGAGTATCTTATGGCTGAGATTAACATATCTGCATTGTTGACAGCTACCTGTTAGTTCTGGCTAAACCATGTAGGAATTACCAGCTGACTGGTCCATCATCCTGATTAAAGGACTCAAACTGACCAGATGATGATAACAGATTCCACTGAGAATTTTTTAAACTGATTCTTCCTAGTACTCGACGGATTTTCTGAGAAAACTGATCAAACTACTCTTAAGGCAGGTGTCTTGTGAGGAGCTAAAAACTAGCTGAAGTATCCAGGGATCCTATGTGTCTACAAGCCTTGCTGGCCTAGGGCCAAATCCAGTCACTGTCCTTCCATTCCCAGACACATACTCTCTCTCATGATTTCTTGTCCAAGAGAGAATTCTCCCAGTTCCTCAGTCATTTTTGCACATTGTCAGACCCTTGCTAAACATGATGCTCTGAGTGCTGTTACTCCTCTTCAAATATGCAGAAGTAAAACTAAGAAACAAGTCAGACTTCAGAGAGCGTTTCTAAAAATAAAAAGGTTCATTCTTAATTTACAGCAGAAGATACTCAGACCAATGGGAATAAACCCCATTTAGGCAAAGCTCTTTCATTTGGCATGTACCAAATTATCTGAGGACAATTCTTCCGGTCAGGCCTGCCTCCAATTTCTGTTCCTTGGCTGGCAGGAGGGACTGCCTTTGATAATACTCCACTCCTCTCTTTCAAAGCAATGTCCCTTATTTGTTCTAGTGCTTGGTAACAAGCATACATGAGAAAACTTCCTAAACAGCTCCCTTCAGTGTCTTAGGATATTTCCATTTGAACCAAAGATGCTCCAGATTACCTCATGTCAGTTTTCCCTCCACAGTTGTCTGTCATTGTTTTTCCACAATTCCATTATGAGTGCCAAAATGGTACTTATTTTATAGACAAATTTCTTAGCATCCCTGATGTGAGGGGTTCTGGAGATTTTAGGTGAGAATCAAAATCCATTAAAAACAAGCGTCCAGAGCAGCATGAGAACAGAGCCAATCCAGTAACTGTTACTTTTAGAGTATGAAAGCTACATCCAGTCATTCCTCTGCCGTTTGCCAGTGTTTCCACAGGCTATTACTGTTCTTTCATCTCACAGAGCCTACTCATTCTGTCAGCAACTGCTCTAAGCCACTAACCTTCTTCCATTTTATTGGCACACCCAAAATATTCAAACATCCACTAGACTAGTTTCCCAGCTCTTGGGGACAGATGCATCCAGTTTATTATTTATCATCAAGCAAGGAAAGCTGTTGTTGTTAAAGGGAAAAGAGTAAGAGACAGTAACTCAGCTTCCCAAGTCCAGAGCAGGGTGGCTGAAAGTAACCAGAAGCTGTAACACACAGTTAAAAAATAGAAACAGACAGATCACATCTTTGTGAAGATATTTTTCCTGTATAGAAAAGAGGAAAAAAATATCCCTGTGAATGTTTTCAAGATCAAGGCTGCAACTTTGATGCACATGCAGACCACAGTACTCAAAGCATCCATTGCACAAAGTCTTCTGCATTCCTTCGTCCAACAGATGCTCATTTCAGTATTAAAGCCAGCTTTTTAAATGTAAACATTGATGATCTCTTTTTTCCCCCAAGAAATACAGGCTGCACTTAAAAACCTTTAGCTCCACTTGTTTCTGCTGTAACAGGAACAGCAGTTTTGTTTCAAGACAAAACAGAACTAAACCAAATGCAGACTATTTTTGTGCTTATGTTTCTTCACTGAAATAACTCAGAATTGGCTGAAGTCTGTTAAAGCCTTTCATAGGGCTATTACCTCACCCACTTCAAATAAAAAGATGAAGTTATAACAAGACTTGGAAAAAGAATAAAAACCCTGCTTGTCCACAAAATACATAGGCAGAAATCATCAGCTGTAAATGAGAAAGAAATGGTTATAAGTTTTAAAAAGAAACTTGTTTAGAAGCAGGTTTGAAAGTCGTTTCGCAATCTCAAAAATAGCAGATTTGTTGTTCAACAAAACTATTGATCACAGGCTGGATAGAGCCAAACATCCTGTGTTTTGTACACAGAGCTGGGCAAAAACCTCCTTGATTAGATAATGGGCCACAAAAAATTTGCCTCCATCCTCTTTCAAAACCATAATCCCAGACCTGCATTCTGGATTCTAGCAAAAGCTAGAAAAAAAAAAAAAAAAAATCTAACTCCCCAAAGTTTTCCCTTTCTGCCAAGTTCCCAACACCTACATTGCCTCCTGCCTGACATTGCTTCGTACCTGATCAATGGCATCTGGGTTTTCAGAAACATCAAAGATGACCGCTGTGGCTCCTCGCTGTACTGCTCGTTTTGCCTGCAATAAGAAAGACAGCATCCTCAGTCCCACCCCAAAAGATAACTTCTTAACTCAAAAATTACTCCCTCTCCTCATCTCCAGATAGAAAACATTTTGTGTTTCCGTGTAGTTAAAACAAATGACAGAACAATTACAATCACAGGAGCTCCTGAACCAGCATGGAATGTAGTTCAACTTCACTAAAACTTCTACATTGACTCTGCTCCTACCTTCTCAAACTCCTCTTTCAACCTTTTAAAGGAATTCAAATGAGATTTAAACCCTCTAAAGACTAATGCAAGTATTTAAAAAAAATTGGTTTTTTCCCTCCATTTTACTTGGAAATGCCATTAAAAACTATGACTTGGGGTGGAGAGAAATTCACTAGTGTAGAAAATTAAGGTGGACTGGGTTCTTTATAACCTTTTCAGTGTCATTCTCCCTAACTAGGCTCTCAGAATGTCAAAATGTCTCTCAGAGAATACTGCTTTTTCTGACCATCAGAGGTCAGAACTGCTGCATAGGCTTCTTATGCTGATCAGAACTATGTATGTGCACAGCTTTTCATCAAATACTGTATTTTCATCAAATACAGTTGGAGTTACCAGCTGCACAGAGAAGATATTAGAAGATATTAAAATCCTCTGGGACAGAGAAAACAGTGTTTTAATCACCAAGGCTAATACAGGGGTTTTATCCTGTTTCTGCCACTGTGTCTCTGTATGTACTGTTCAAATGTTGCTCAATGGCTCCACAAAGCAGTAACTTTTCAAAGTCCTATTGCCTTTGTGGACACAGAATGCAAGAAGCTATTTCTCCAAGCAGTGACAGCTATCACCACCACAGTACTAAACAAGAAGGCACTGGCCCTCCACAGAGGCTACCAGAACCTGAACTTACATTGAGATACAAGAGAAACCAACAGTAGTGATAAATTGTGAAATATTACTCAGCATTTTCCTGGAAAAATGTTGGCCAGTACAGAGAAGTTGGTTTGAACACATAAAGGTCACTTTCTTTGCTTTAGTCTCATATTTTATTTTAAATCAACAAGGCTCATCAGACAGCACATGAAGGAAACCAACTCCCAAACTGGAGCTTTTTCTCAGCCCACCAGGTATTTGTCCCCTTTGAAGTCGGCGCACCTGGTTAATGACTAAGAACTGTTGGGGAGGAAGACTTAAAAGGAATTTACCACCCATTCTCCTTTGCAGTAGCCCTGAGGTGAGGGCTCATCCAGGTTTCCCTAAAAGGCACCCCTTACAGACACGCACTGCTTATAGAACTGCTGCTCAGATAGTTTTTTCAGGATGATCAGTCAACAAGCGAGGCCCCTTGATATCTGAAGAGATTTTTAAAGAGATTTTGCAGATCCGCGCTGATAAAAACTCCTTAATTGCGTGAACACACTGAACGAGCAGCAAGTTTCCCCCACCAGGTGTTAAGAGATTAAAAGCACCGAGTAAAAAAAAAAAAAAATAAATAAAAATCGTGCTGCGGACGGTAAGGGCAAATTGGGGTGACCCGTTTGGCCATCCTGCCCCAACTGCGGCGCTCGTTTCAGTGCGGCCAAGCCCGGCGAGGCTCCGGCCGCCATGGCCCCCTCGCCCGTGAGGGGCCAGCGGCCCCGCACAGCGCCCCCCTGCGGCCGCCGGAAGTGCCGCCTGTCCCCGGCCCTGGAGGGGAGAGCAAGAGCGGCGGCGGCGGCCGCGGGGAGAACGGGGAAACGCGGGGGTTTTTACTCCGTGCTGCGGAGTTTAAATCCTGATAACCCGGGGGAAAGGCGCGGCGTTCGCTCCTGCCAAACTTCCCGGAGGCACGACCCTCCCTGCGCAAGTCCGCAGGTGCTAAAGAGCCGTGTCCGTAGTAGTCGGGTGGCGCTCCCGCCGCCCCGAGCACCCCACGGCCCGCACGGGGAGCCGGGCGCCAGCCCCGGCCAGCGGGCTCCAGGCTGCGGCTCCGCGGCTTGGTGGCCGCCCGACGGGACGGGCCAGGTTCCGCTGGCCCGAGATCAGAGCGCGGCTGTCTCCGCCTCGCCCTCCCCGCCTGCAGCTCGGCCCTAAAGCCGGGCACTCCGCAGGGAAGCGGAGCAGGGGGAGCCCGAGCGGGAGCGCTTTTGTTGCCCCGCTGCCCTGGGCTGCAGGCGGGGCCGGAGCGCACCTGTGGCTGGAACACCTGCCGGCCCTCCTTCCGCATCCCCCAAAACACCGCGGCACAGTTCAAGGCAAAACGTCTTTGAAAACTCCCTGCCCGCTACTCAGTAATCAGGGCAGCTCAAAATTACACAGCAGTGTTAAGTCCCACTTAAAATAATGCCAGTCTGTAATAGGCACGTGATTTTTTTCTTTTTGGGCTAGCCAGCATTTAGACTCCCTCAAATCATTTTTCTAAACAAAGTGACCAAACCTACATCAAAAATAAACATAAACTAGATGAGGGGAAAAAAGAAGCTAATGAAGTACATGTTTTACATTTACAATACTTGTGGCAAACAAACAGACATTTCCACAATTCAATTCCCATTAATTTGTCAGGCCTATTTCTTTCTGTGATTGTCTTCTGTGGCTTAAAACAAATGACTACCAGTATGTATGAGTATTATTCCCCTTTTTGTAAAGAGTAATAGAAAACAAACAAAAAAATGGTAATTGCACTTCTCATAATTCAAGTGATCACTTTGTTCATAGTGATAACTTCCCAGTCCATCTCTACGTGCAGAGTCTACAGTTCATGCTACTACGGAACAATGGACATTACCAATAAAATGAACATTAAATACAGTCTCAGATTAAAATCTGACAGAATTTACTAGGCCTTGTAATCTAGGTTAGAGAAGAGGAAATGCATGTGACAAAAGTCCAAGAGAAATATCACTCCACATCTCCAGGCCTGAGGAATTTTAATTTATTACCTCAAAGAGCACCAGAAAGATTTTAAGAGCTCTGTACTACCTCCCTGTGGGCCAGGCAAATACAATAAGGAAGTAACAACTTCCTTGATGAGGCAAACTTTCATCCCAAGGGACTAGATAATTATTAAACAGGTGCACTGTTCCTCTCGTTCATTCAAGTCAGGTGAGACAGCAACAATCAAAGCAGTAAGTTCAGCTCCTTCCTGACTTCTTGATGGACTTTGCATGCTCGCACATATGAACACGGCAAGCATCTCCTCCTCTGCTTTCTAGTATGGTTTCATCCCAATTAATGTTTCAGTTAGTATGCAACAGTGGAGAAACCATCAGAAGAAAAGCTGCTTAACGAGGTTTTCCTTCAAGAGAAAAACCAACCAACACCACCAGTCTTTATCCATTACATTTACTTCTTTGTCAAAGTTAGAAATGCCTGACAATATTTGGTAGTATTTGCACCTGAGGACATGACTCTTCAATCTAATGGATTTCAGAGCGTGAATAAATTAGAGATAAGAGAAAGACCAAGGCTTAAACCATAGGTGGGAGATCAAAGTTCATTAAGGACTGCAAGCTCTGCTATTTACATCAACATAGTAATGCATTACACATCTATTAAGAGAGTACCTTTTTTTGAAAATGGCTATTGGTAGAGCCAGATTACTACTTATAAATAAACTTTTTTAAAGTCAACATCCTGGATAATACTGATGGACTGAAGGGAGAAAAGGATGCTTTAAAAGTATTGGCTGCCTGTATAAACCACAGATATATCCTGATGTTATAAAATTACGTTCTCACAAATGTTTTTACATTGAAAACTACCTATATCTCTTCATAGATTTGTTCAATTGTTCACCCAGCTCCAGGTATTATCTTCTTGGAACTTAGTACACCCTAGTTAACAAATATTAATTATAATTATGGTATGTGCTACATGAGCAGGTTAATTTATTCCCTGGGTTAAGAAACTCATAAAGCTGGGGAAGAGGAGGTTGAGCAATGGTTTAAGGAGTAACCAGTACAGATGCCAGTAAACTCCTTTTAGCAAACTACTCCATCAGGTGTCAGCATCATTAGTTGGTCCCCCAAAATTACCAAGACAGGAAGCACAAGATTAAAGATATAGTACACAGAAATTATGGATCCCAAAAGCAAAATGCTGCAGGAACTAGAGGTATCAGCACAGCTCCAACAGGTGTAATAATGGCTTTTTTAATTCCCAATCCATTTTTCAGTATACCTTGGGTTTTGGGGCAGAAAATATAGTATTACTCTAAATCAGTGCAGAGACTGTTGAACAGAGTAGTCAATAGAATTGGTTTGTACATTCTTATTTAGCTGAGAACTGAGCCAGCCTGAATTTCCTGTCAGTTTTTGAGGTTTTTTTTCCCCTTCAGTTTCTCAACAAACTAATAATTATTGAACTTGAGGCATATTTTCTGGATATTCCCAGCCAATCAGATCCAACAGTCTATGTCAGATCTCTCTATATTGTGGAGTCAGTGGCCATTAATCTGACAAAAGAGTGGGATTATGCAAGCAGTGTTAAGTGGAACATTTTTCATAGCTGATTCTATCATCAGCTGTCCTCTGGTGCTTTGAAATAAGAGAAGTCAGCCTCTCACATAGCGTGCTGGTAACATATGAGCAACATTCAGTGACATGCAATTTGCAAACTGTGACTCCAAGGAACAAGATTTTCAATGAAAAGGTGCAGTGTCTTGTTTTACTGCTCTGGAAAAGCAGTTCAAAGATTTCAACAATCTTGACTGCTGGAGAAAACAGCTGAAGGGATGAGGTTTCCATCTGCAATATTTCACCAAAATAAATGATGAATATAGCAAGTCAGTGGTCTTGGTCTTCTCTTGAGCAGACTCAAAAGTAACAGTCTGCTCCAATATCAATTATATGCACCTGTTTTCTCCAGATCAAGTGAGACCACAAAGATACAGACAATATCACTGAGATATGACAGAGAATATGCAGTACCAGGTTCTAGAATATAGGCTTTTCTAGTAGAGGTTTGCTGTAGTTGTGTGGTTAAACTATGACACTTCTGCAGACTTGTCTTCTTTTTTTTTTTTCTTTTTTTTTTTTGTATTAACAGAGCGTAACTTTAGGCTCCTAATGCTTGTTTCAGCACTATCTTAAATGGGTTTAACTTTCTGCAGGTTTGAGAAAACCTCAGTTAAGTCTGGACAAACCCAGGAAGTTCTAGTGATGAGAAGTACACCACTAGTTCTTACATAAATGCATGAGGAATTTGCAGGTTGTGACAAGGAGATGTTGCCACTGCCAGTTTGCCATTCCAGTCAGCTGAATGGTATTCTGACCCTGATGCTCTCAAATCTCTAAACTTCTTCAGGAGAGAGGAATACCTTAAACAATCCTATTAAAACAAGCAGTGAGTATGAACTGCACCCCCATTCTATGGATAGCAGCATTAGATTTTCATTATGGCAGGAATGACATCACATGAAGCCAGGCAATAAAATCCAAACCTGCTCATCATTAAGAACCTTATGTAAAACCCACAGCATTGTGCAAATACACCTTTTTTTTCTTTGCAACTCTGAAAATGCAAAAACCTGCTTCTCTCAGAGCTACACAGAATACAGACAACAACATCTGGACAATCCTGGCCTCTCTCTTTTCTCCCCCCACACTGCTATCAGGCAATCACAAAAAAATACCTTGTCCCTTGAACTAACACTGGAGCTAGCAAGCCAGGCCACAGGCCAATTCTGCAGGGCAGAGGAGGAAGGAGAAAAGGACAGCCATCTACTTTGCAAACAGCAGAAGTTACAAATTAACCAACTGATGCTTCAGACCTGTTAATGTACAATTCCCTGGTAATTCCAGAAACTCAGTTAAACCAAGCATAAACAGGATGCCATTTCAAACCTTTTCTGAGATAATGAAAAAAGAACTTTCATATTTCTGTCTGAAAATAAAGGCAGAATATCAAAAGAAGACAGCCAAATCCCCATGTATCACACCAGCATAAAAGCCCTTCCTGGCTGGAATACCTGACTTCTCTGGCACCTTGAGATATGTTTTATACACATGCCCTATAGATTCTGAATTACACAGCATTGCAACAGTTGCTTACCAAGTAAGAAGTACAGAAAGTGTGAAGCAGCATTTTTAAATTTAAAGCATAATCACAATTTAAAACGAATGTACCTTTCTGTAAAATAAAAACAAAATAAAAAAAAAAAAAAAACAAAACAAACCAAAAACAAAAAAACACCAAACCATAAAAGGCTATGTACCTGTAGTTTTAAAAAAAACCCTATCACCTCATGCATTACATAGTCACATCAACAATATATAGACACATCAGCGTGATTCAACCACTCAGTATTGAGAGGCTCTCAGATGGTTAAAATGACGAACAAGAAAACTCAATGTCTCTCTTTTCTGGGGTTAGGGAGAAACACTGCTATCTGTTCTGAGTCTAACCGAGTAAAACAGTGAGAAAAAGACATTTATTTAATCCTGA